AAATTTGTTTTACTTTACGTAATTGAAACTTGAACAAAAATTGAAAAATTTTTGGTTACTCTGATCGATTTGCTGCGATTGCCTTTTTCTTGTATGTTTCCTTTTTTGAGTTGTTAAAATGTCGATTTGAAAATATTTATAAATAAAAAGAAAATAACCATTTTTTATTTTGTCCTAACCAAAATATGAAAAAGTAAAACCATTTCAAATAGAATTTTTGGTAATTTGGGTCAGATGTTTTTGCTTAATAAACAAAATTATTTGTTTTTAATATCCCACACAAAGTTTCCACATATTTTGCCCATAATATGTATCCCTAACTCTTTCTGTGCGGTATAACGTAATTAAATTTATTAGGAGCTTTGTTCGGGTAGAGAAAATCAGAAATTCTCGACAGATATTATATTATAATTTTTTTGTTGATTAACTTTGATTAACAGCTTATGATATTACGCCACAACAAACGCAATAAATAATGGTTAAATTGTACATGCGCTACCGGGATAATTTATCGGTTTGCACTGTCAATACACCGCAATGATATGTTTTACTATACCATTGTTATTATTTACGATCAGCTAAAACATTTAAACGTGTCCTATAGCTGCCTATTTCCACGCAAGTAATGAAGTGCGTTAAAATAAAGCAGACTTTAAATTACTTAAACTAAAATTAAATTATTGTTTCTATTTCCTACTCTTAAATACTCAAATATATAGCGATATAACGTGTGCCGTTTCGTTTCCTACGGATGCGAGGAAACTGAACATTCGTGCACACTGCAGTGTGTCGAATGTTCAAAGTATCGAAACTTCAGGATGCAACGGTCGAAACTCAAATCTTCTTCTTCTTCTTTAAGTGCCGTCTTCGTTGCGAAGGTTGGCAATCATCAGTGCTATTCGTATTCGTGATACAGCCGACCGAAATAGTTGGTTTGTGGTGCACCCGAACCAGTCACGTAAGTTTCTCATCCATGTGTGACGCCTTCTTCCTACACTTCTCTTTCCTTGAATTTTTCCTTGTAATATCAGTTGGAGTAGTTGGTACTTTTCTCCTCTCATGACGTGTCCAAGGTACTGAAGTTTACGTTTTTTTACCGTAATGATAATTTCTTTTTCCTTTTTTATTCTTTTCAGGATTTCCATGTTGGTCACTTTATCGGTCCATTTTACCTTACGTATTCTACGGTACAACCACATTTCGAACACCTCCAGTTTCCTTATGTCCAGTTTCTTCAGAGTCCAAGCCTCTACACCATAATACAGTACCGACAAAACATAGCATCGCACCATTCTGATTTTTAAATCCAAGCTGAGATCGCTGCCACAGAGCACTCTTTTCATTTTCACAAATGTTGTTCTCGCCTGTCCTATTCTAGTTTTTTTTCTATGGAGTGGTTATTTATATGAATTTGTGAATTGTTTTGTGCTGTTTTTGATATTATCATAAATTTTGTCTTTTTTACGTTTAGTGACAGTCCGAACTCTTCACTCGATGTATTAACTTTGTCTACTGCAATCTGTAATTCGTTTAGGATGGTAGCTCTCAGCATCGTATCATCCGCATATCTTATATTGTTGATAGGCACTCTGTTAATTTTTAGTCCTTTCGTTTCATTATTTCCTCTGAGTAAAGGTTAAATAACATCGGTGATAGCACGCACCCCTGCCTAACGCCTCGACGGATTTCTATTTCTTCGGTGTTATTCCCTTCTATTTTTACCACTTCTTTTTGATTAAAATAAAGATTCGTAATAATTTTTATATCTCTGGTGTCTAAGTTCTTCTCTTTCAGAAGCTGGATAAGTTGTTAGTGTCGGACCCTATCGAAGGCTTTGTTGTAATCAATGAAACATATATAAAGATCCTGATTCATATCCATACATCATTGGGCGAGAACGTTCAAGGCAAATATTGCTTCTCTTGTGCTTAAGCCACCTCGGAAACCGAATTTACTCTCGCTGATATCTTGTTTTAATGTTTTGTATATCCTGTGATGTATCACTTTCAGAAATATTTTTAGCGTATGACTCATTAGACTGATTGTTCGAAAGTCTGTGCATTGCCTTGCATTATGTTTTTTTGGGATAGTGACGAACGCTGATAGTAACCATTCCCTGGATATAATACCTGTTTTGTATATGGTGTTGAACATATCTGTTAGACTGTGTATGTTTTTCTCTTCTATCAATTTGAGAATTTCAGAGGGTAACTCATCAGGCCCTGCAGCTGTTCCATCTTTTGTGATTTTTATAGCATGGATGATCTCTGCGTTAGTTATTTCCGGTCCACTGTTTTCTTGTTCTGTTACTATTCTGTTTATATCTCTCTCATCATCGAATAATTCTGTTATGTAATTCTTCCATGTTCTTAGTTTTTCTTCCATTTCCATAATAATTTTGCCATTCTGGTCAGTGAGTATTGACGGTTGTCTTTTTTTCTGTAACCCTGCCAGTTCTTTTACTTTCTTGTGGACATTGAAGCTGTCGTGCTTTTCTTGAAGGGCTTCTATTTCGTCGCATTTTCTTTTGTAGAATACCTCTTTTGCTTCTCTTATCTGTGATCGGATTTCTTTCTGAATATTCTTATATGCTCCGTTGTTGTCTTTTACACCACGTCGTTCGTTTATCAAATTCAAAATTTCTGAAGTCATCCATGTTTTTTCCCTATTTTCTGTTTTGTCAGAATGGTCTTGCTCGGCTCAATTAATGCATTTTTTAAATCTTTCCATTGTTTGTCCGTGTCTTCTTCCGCTGTTATTTGATTGTTTTTGGGGGTTCTGAGGTTGTCATTGATCTTGTTTTGTAGCCTTTGTCTTGTTTCTTGTTTTTTTAGACCCGATACGTCTATACAATTTGTTGTTGGTATTACTCGTTGTTTTTTAAGTGTTATTAAAAACCGGGCTATTAGTGGATTATGGTCCGATGAGACATCTGCCCCTGCCCCTCAAATAGAAAAGAACAAATAGCTGTTTCGATTGAATGACGTGATTTTTATATTTAAAGAGAAAGACTTCGTAATTTGACAGTCGATACTAGATAGGTCTAGTCCGACTACGAGTTAGCAAAATGTTGCGCGTTTCGATGCTTCATTCAGGGCACAGGAATTCCCATGCACGCGATCAATTCTTGTTTCCACTAAAATATAGATAAATTAAGATTAATTTGGATGAAGGGCACTGCAACCCGCATTCAAAATAATATTTTTTATTAACCCGTGAGTATTTTTTGAGTATTTTTTCGTCGTTATTTATTACAGCCACCAGTTAAGGTAAAAGTTGACGTCTACCAAGTCCGATTTATCTATAGTTTATGAATGACAACATTAACAACTTCATCTTTTAAACAAGCACCTTACTAAAGTATTTTTGGCAACACAAGCATTTTAATAATTATTCCTAATACATAGTATTTCCGCAATAATTTTCTTCCATCCACATTTCCTTTTATATGACATATAATCCACAGTGCTTTGTACAAGTAAAAGCGTGTAAGAATAACACTTTGTATTTTAATGACGAATGCACATTACTAGGAGTTCCCAGTATTTTTTTCAATTAATGTGAAATGTAGTTATTTAGGACTTCAAAAACTGCCAAGAAAGGTCAAATGCCTACTGCAAATTTAAAATATATATTGTTATTTAACACTTATTGGTGGCTTCTATTAACGTATACAAAGGTAAAGGCTAGCTACCGAAAAAATATAAAAAACTTGCCAATTTTTGATGAAGGGTGGGCCCAACAATTTGGCTAATATCGCCAACGAATGTAAAATCATTTTTTACACCTCTTTCCCAAATTTTAATTCTTTCGTAGAGGGGCTTGTCAAAAAAATTGCTGATACCACGCTAATTTACCTTGTGGCAAGTCTATTGTATAAGTTCATTCGGTCTCCTTCAATAACTTGAAAATAAATTATTTATTAACCTACGAGCTACAACTACTATAAAATGATGTATCAATTTGAAATAAGTATTAAATTCGATATTTCGATATAAATCGTTGGTTACAACCTAAAAATTATATTGTCCTTTTTTATATGTAGTAAATGACAGAGCAAATACACTTGACAAACATGCGGCCACCAATGCAGCGAAAAAAAAAGGGCGACCAGAGTGTATATTATAAGTTCCAGCCTGATTGGCGTTTAAAGAAAATTAAAATCATTAATCTTGCGCCTCGAAAGTGACACGCGGCCCGGATAAATTACATTTAAATAAAACTCCGGGACAAAAACTAAAACCGCTCATCAATCGTTGCCGTTCTTAGGCACGGCACTGCGGTAGACGCTCTAGAAATACGCGGCTCTATTTCGGCAACAACTGCGGGAAATTAAAAAGAATTGCACCGAGCGCGGCGCTCGTTAACTGAATTAATTTAATATCTGCAAAGTTTCAGTTTTAAAATAAGTAGTCAGACCTTGAGATAATAAGTGCATGACGGTTATAGGGGGTTGTCTAGACGCTCCCCGCGTCTACTAAATGGATCCCCAAGACGAATTTAATAAGTTTTGCGACCTTGCGAAGTTCCTACCGAATTTTCTGGGGTAACTTTAAGTTTACATTAACTAACGTAACTTTATGTCGACGAGTAATATGGTGTCGATTTTTTAGCTAATGAAAGTATGTATTTCAATGAACGCCGAATTAAGGAAAGAATTTACTATTAAAAAAAAGTGCTAATAAGGTATTACAAACTTTTTTATTAAAATTGCTAATCAACATATGACAATGTTTACCTCTATAAGCCTAGAATTTTATATATGGTCTCCTTTTTGCTCTGCCATAGTGCTAAGTTTTATACTTTGTCCCTGTTGTTCAGTTCCTGAACAAACAGAAAAATGAAAAATGTGAAGAATGTTGTGGCCGACATTGGATTATCATAAAAAGAAAAGCATCACGTGATTACTTTAACCTGCATTGCGCACAAATTTTTCGATGAAATTGCAAAGCAAAGCATTTAAAGAAAGTAAACCTTTTAATTCATACGCTTGGTTTCAGGATCCTCTCAGACAACAAATTCGAAGACATCCACCCGAAGTCGTTTGCCAAAAATCCTCAACTTAAAAGACTGTAAGTACCTTTTCATATCGCATTAATATTTTATATACCGCTGCGGGTGCTCTTAAGTTGTTGTTATCTGTCGCGTCTCGTTTTGTACTTCGCAGTCATCTGTCGCCCGTATCCTTTTTTTACTGACCATCTTCTAGGACGTAACTCATTCGGGCGGAAAATATGTCACCTTTTCCATTCAAATATTTGTTCCTACAAAAAAATTCTGACTCATGTCTGCCGTCGGGACGTTGCACAGTACCGTGAGTATATGGGAACTTTGGACAAAAATCATAACTCAAAAACGATTAAAGACATTTAAGTCAAATTTGGTTTGACTTAATGATTTTGAAAACTACCCCTTTTCATCCCTTAAGTACGATTTTATTTAAAAATCTAAAATTACTGGTGTTAAAGATGGTAAGTTTAAGTTTGATTAGATGAAATTCAGTCAACATTTGATTTACTTACACATTTATGAGCGTTTAAAAAGTAAAACGAGTTATAATTATAAGTAAGTATTAAAACTAAAGTTATTCGGAATCAGTGAGCTCTTCCTCTGAACTTAATTCTACATCTAACGGAATTGAAGGCTCCTCTCACACTTTTATAAACTTTTCAACCTCTCCGTCTGTTTTTGTTCCCTTTTTTGTAAAAATTTTAATATGTGAGGTTCAGAAGTTAATAAAAGCCTTCTAATTAAAACATAGTTGGAGTCTACTCTTGAGCATTTAAGGGACAACCGGTTTTTCCTCACCTCTTTATGTCTCAAGCGCATCTTCTGATAATTGTCCTATTGGCAAGGAAAAGTCACCGATTATTTCACACCCGTGAACCAGTATTTTATGGACGCTACTGGGCATGTTGTACCACCGACAAAGTCTGATATACAACTCTCGCGTTTCTGCCAATAATTTTTTTAATTTATCCTTTTCGATTCCTGTAATCTCTGCACCAAGATCGGGATTCAGGAAGAATTTTCTCGCAGTGTTTCCATCATTCGCCATATGCTGGCTTCGGTTTGTCCACTAAAAGGCCCGTTTTAGATTTAAATTTCTCTTGTATTCGTTTTTTATTTGCCTCAACTATTGCCTTGTTTTAATTGCCCTTTACCTGCCATGATCTGATGGGTAGCCGATAGGCTATGTGTAAAATGCACTCGAAAAACCTAATCCAACACTGCAAAGTGGACAAACCGAAGCGATAGTTCTCCACATTACGTACCCTATTCAACGCGTCTCTTGTGTTCATCTCCTTTGGAGTTGCGCCACAAATTATGCATTCGGACCTGGCATTCGTATCGGATAGAATATTGGCCACACTTCCGTCCATCATTGTCAACAGTGGCTCATAGCTAACTTGACATTCTTGACAACAGAAAATTACTTTGTAGTTGGCTGATTTTTTCATTCATTGCCTGCTCTTCTTTCCGGACCAGCTCTGCATTTTCTTTTTGAAACATAAATTTTACAGGCCTGCAGTAAAGTGTGGATGAGGGCCTTGAGTTAACCCACGCACCTTTGCCATTTTTTAGGCCTACCAATTTTAAAGGCACTAATGCTATCAAGAACAAATATTCATCAGTACTGGACGCATCTGTAAATTTTTGTTTATACTGGCTGTGACCAGAACTGCCGTCTAGCCCCCATTTGCAGACCAGCTTAAATCGACTACTATCGTTGTCTAAATTTGCGATATTAATTATACTTTGTGCTGTTAGTTTAAGAAGTTCCTGAAGGTTTACCTCAGCTGAGTTTTCAGTAACAGTAACGAATGACGGTAACAGCGCATCTTTAGCTTGGTTCAACTTATGTAGGCTGGGAAAACAGTTTGGGTGAACAGCATTGACCGTAGTTCTTAACACCTGATATTTATTTTCAGACAGATCTAGGTCTAGGTAGAGATCTAAAGCTTGATCGGCACTTAACGAAGAAATTTCGCCGTTAATTGTTTGTTGTGTTGAATTGTTAATTGCAGCTCATCTGACGTTCTGCTAGATGCAAGTTCCGCTACTCGCCTTTTCTTTGTCTTCAACGAAACTTCATCAAAGGGCTTCATCGGTCTTCCACGGGGACGACTAGGTCCAGGCCTGTCTTCTTCTATTGTTCTAAACGTTAATAAACCTTCGGGCAGTTGTAACTCTTGCTGCAGCCAAGCCTCGTTTCGTTGAGAAAGTCTATTCCTGCTTCGACAAACTTTTTCCCATTTTGAGCTTAACTTAAGACATTAGAGCCGACTAACCTTCATGAGTTGCTCACGAATCTGTTGAGATCCCTCGTCTAGTGAAAGAAGAGACACAATTTTTTCAAATAAAGCGTTAACTCTGTTGGATTTTTTCCTCTGACACCATACTCCACTCCTTCTGAAAAAATGTCACAGTAAATTTATTCGCAAGTTTCCGCAAAAGACCGCACTTAATATGAAAGTTTATTGACCTAGCAATAATTAAAACTTAAAACCAAAAAGAGATCTAAGGAGATTTTTTTAAAACCTTATACAAAGTTTGGAATTTATAAAATAATGCATATTTTGAGGATAGCAATCTTTAAAGCATCTAAAATAAAGCAAAAGTTAGCCATAGGCTAGTTTATGCATACATTTTAAGGTACATACCTTGACCTGTGACCTCCATTGCTCACTGTTTAAAAACACTCACTCGTTTTTGTTTTCTGATGCAATTGGCATTTGTAAAAGAAAGCGATTAATGCGGTAGTTAGGGGAGCTTTTTCAGAATAGGGAATTGGGCGGGTCATATTAAGTCAACTGCGGCCAATCAGATGATTAGAATGGGCTGTTACATTGAAGCGTCCTGTAACCCATTTATTGGCAATATAAATATAGAACAAGTCGAAACTTGATTTTAATATTTTTGGATTAAGGTCACGGTACTGTGCGTTGGACAAAAAGAAGAACAAAAAGTCTCTTGCAACTCTTCTTGTATTTATATCTGCGACTTCTCTAAATGGGTACAATTTTTGCTTGCAAATATCCTCATATTACAATCAATATATCTATCTATACGAAATTACGAACGAAACGTTAATAAATATTCAGAAGAATCACATTAATTGTTTTCGAGAGACCCAAGAGAAATTGAAGAAAATATATACCTATATATAGTATATTAATCTAATTTGTTTATGGTTAGAACTGACTAACTTTTTAATAACCCTATTTTAACACCGAGTTAACATTACCAGACAAATTGATGGTTTGATTTATTATTATCTATTAGCAAAATATTCAAACAGCAAAGTTCATATTATGATATACAGGGTTTTTCACTTAAAACTCCGCACGCCAATAACTCCAAAACGAAAAGAAATATTTAATTTATGTAAAAAGTAGTCAAAGTGTGGGGTCAAGTAGATATTTCCTAAAGTTTAAAAAATTCGACGCCTGCAAAGAGCTGGGCGTCGCGACGCGTCGAAAAATTATTCGATTGCAGAGACTTTGGAAATACGCGCATACAAAAGTACATATTATTTAAAAACTTTTTTGTTATTTACTCAAACTTATTTACTTTACCCGTTTCTAAGTTATACCGATTTAAAGTAAACATTTCTTGATTAATAAAAAATGTGATTAACGCTTATTTGTACAAGTATGCCATGAATGTTAGTTACTATGGCAACCATTGTTATCGCAGTTGTTTTAAGTGCAATTACAAACGTAAGTTGTTATTGCTGTATCAAAAATTTGTCACTTTGTCACAAGAAATATCCAAATTTGTTCGGTTTAAAAAAAACTAAGAATTATTATGTGAAAATGGTGCAATTTAGCAATGAGGAAAAAGTAGACATGTTACTGGTGTTTGGAGAATGCAGATGCAATTGTAGAGAAGCAAAAAGAGTTTACGCACGGCGTTATCCGCATAGAAGAGTCCCCGATGCAAAAACCTTTTCAAGTTTATGTAAAAACTTAAGAGAATATGGCAGCTTCATAAAACCTAAAAGAGATAGGAACAGGACGGCTACAAATGATGAAAATACTGCTGATAATAACCCCAAGATAACCCTATCAGAGATAAAAGAAAATACCGGTGTTACCATAAGTTCTTCGTGGAGAATTCTACATAGAAACTCTTTTCACCCGTACAAAAGTAAACTAGTTCATAAACTAGAACCAGGCGATTATGCTAGAAGAATGTATTTCTTAGCGACATTGTCCGATTTGTATAGCCAAGATGCAAATTTTCTCTCGAAAATTTTATGGAGCGACGAAAGTCGATTTCAAAATAATGGAATCGTTAATAGACACAACTGTCGTTTTTGGTCCGAAAACCATCCTCGTTGGATTACAGAAAGAGGTAACCAACGAATTTTTAGTATCAATGTTTGGTACGGCATATTAAATGGATTCCTTATTGGACCTTACTTTTACGAAGGAACTTTAAATGCAGATCGCTATTTAAGATATCTTCAAACTACACTTCCGGAACTATTAGAAGAAGTGCCTCTTGACACTAGAATGAATATGTGGCTACAGCAGGATGGAGCGCCTGCACATAATGCCCAAATAGTAACGAGGTATTTGAACCGAGAATATCCCAATAGATGGTTTGGTACTAATGGACCGGTAAGGTGGCCGGCGAGGTCCCCGGACATTACACCACCAGATTATTTTCTTTGGGGCTACCTAAAAAACGTTATCTATGAAGAACCTATCGAAGATATGGCTGATCTCATTAACAAAATTAGTGCAGCGTGTGCCGCTATCACAAGAAGGACTCTCCTACAAGTGACCCAAGCTCATCTGTTAAAAGTTTTTGATAGTTGTGTTCGAGCAGATGGACATAATTTTGAAAAAAATTTTTGAAATGTCTTATTATGTAGTTAATTGCAATAATAATTTTGGTTATTAACTTGTAGGTATTTTACTGTTTTTTCATTTATTTATCATGTTATCAGAACTAAATCGATAAAAAATAATAAATAAAATCATACTAAAATAGTTGAAATCTATTGTTTGTAATTGCACTTAAGACAACTGCGATAACAATGCTTGCCATAGTAACTAACATTCATGGCATACTTGTAAAAATAAGCGTTAATCACATGTTTTATTAATCAAGAAATGTTTACTTTAAATCGGTATAACTTAGAAACAGGTAAAGTAAATAAGTTTGAGTAAATAACAAAAAAGTTGTTAAATAATATGTACTTTTGTATGCGCGTATTTCCAAAGTCTCTGCAATCGAATAATTTTTCGACGCGTCGCGACGCCCAGCTCTTTGCAGGCGTCGAATTTTTTAAACTTTAGGAAATATCTACTTGACCCCACACTTTGACTACTTTTTACATAAATTAAATATTTCTGTTCGTTTTGGACTTATTGGCGTGCGGAGTTTTAAGTGAAAAACCCTGTATATTGCCTTATTGATATCAGTGTAAATTATTTTAATAGAGTCATATGTAGTAGTCGCAAAAATCAAATATTCTGCACCCTTTAAAAAGCAATGATAACAAATTATAAGTTTGTTTTTGAAATATAACCCTTTCGAGTTGTTGCCCTCCACTTTGGCAGTCGCGTACAGTTCATTCCGTTCGCTCGTAAATCAATCGGCTACTAGAAATTTATATCAAACGACATATCTAAGCGTGGATAATACGAGATACCATAAATACGTATCTTCGTCATTTAAAACCGTTCGACCAGTCGTCTCCGCGATCGTTAAAAGTTTATTGACGTCGTGGAAAACATCGCGGGGGATCTACGAACGCTGATTTTCTCGCACAAACTTGAATGTGGTTTACGCTAGCGCGCGAAAATTACGTTCGTAAATATCAATTTAAACGGACGAGTCGAGTCGAGTTCTATCTCGCTCTAGCTTTACGTTTCCCGTCGTTTATTGTAACGAACGATAGCGTTCGAATGGCTCTATACGGACAATCCGTGACGAAAAATACAAAAACCGAAGACATCATGAATAGAACGCTTAGATGTTGGCGACCCGGTGTTCGCCATCTTTGTACGAAATGTATTTTGATCCAGAGATCGAAAACCTGGTGTTCACCACGTTAAACGACCTTTTTTATCGGTATGCGCATCTGATCGCATCTCTACGATATAAAAATCTAGACAAAAATGTATGCGCATACTTCAGGTGTGATGCAAGAAGTACCTTATCGGCACTGAAGTATGTCTGCTACGTCTCACTTTTTAAAATATGCACGAATATTTAAAAACAAAATATTTTTTTTTCTTTCACCTGGCAACACGGAATTAATGAAAGATAATGTATGTATGTTACCATTTGATCCCAAATTTTTTCTGATGAACGTCTATGGACTTGAAGTTAATTTTTTGTAGTTAGGTCTAACTTTTTGGGTCTCTTGTAAAATTTTGATTTGAAATTTCTTTTACGAGATTTTTAACAAATATCCGATTAGTTAATGGTGTTTAGTTAAGGAAACAACACAAATTTTCATCTTTTAAAGTTGCTGTTAGATTCAATTCAAATATACTACGTGAAAAGTATTGGATTAAATAAAAATATAAGTTACAAGTAACTTGATTAATGCAGATATTAATAAATATTCAGTTTAAAAAGTTAACTTTGACATCCTGTATATTGAAAACGGAGCGTTCAAATGGAAAACTTAAAGTATAACGCAGATTGGATAAATTATCTGACTTAAATACTAAATGAATTTATTATTCTATTTCGAAAAGTCATGTAAGTACACATTTACAAGTCGTTGTCTTAATTCACAAAATGTCGTACTTTAATTAAAAGATAACCATATTTTATTTATAAAATATTCCAAAATTTTTAAAAATAAATATAAAATAAGCGACATTTTCAAATTCTCCCCAGGAAATCCACAAAAGTGTAAAAGTGGTGGCAGCCCTGAAACAGTAAAAAAAAAGGAAAGACCAAAATATAAAATTCGAGTGTCAAGTTAATCTTGTTAAACGAACTTCCTCGGCCCCCTATTTCAATAGTGATGTGACTATCTTCGTGCGCCAATGTTATATCTCTTATAATTTATACCATCTTTTTTCTTGTTTCCAGGATTTTGCAGAACTGCGGACTGAGAAGAATCCCATCTGAATCCCTTAAACACCTGGTAAAGCTTCAAACATTGTAAGTCGTTTGGTAACGTGTAACCTAGGCAACTAGGCGTGTTCCCGAAACAGAATCCTAAAATTTTGAAAATCAAAGCTATTACCAAATGCGTTTTCAGAATTTCCCAAAAATTTTTGAAGATTTTCAAAGTTTTATTTGGAAGAAAGCGGTCGCTTTTCTTAAAATGGGATCGGAGTTTGAAACAATAATTGTTTTGATACGAAGCCACGCTTTCCTTTGAGGTCCGGTTCTTCAATGTAAATTTCAAATTAACAAAACCCCACTTAGTGCACACTTTATTCTTCATTAAAAAAATTTACGTATGCTTAAAATTTTTGTACCACCTAAATCTTTAAATTAAGTTTAACTTATATTGAAGACCCGGAGCTTAAAACATTTATTGATATATACAGTCTGTCCAAGATAAGGATGTCCATCGTGGGGATATTGAAAACCATAAGAGATACGAAGATAGTTAAATTAGAAAAAAATTGCAATTAGTTTTCTCAACAGCAAGTTAGTTTAAGTTTTCAAACTTTTTTCTGCGGGTGTCTGGTATAGTTTCCAATATTAACATGAAGGACATCATTCGCTTGGGCAGACTGTATAATAAACACAATCGTATACGATTTTTTTTTCTAAAATTCGTTTGTTGTTTTTTCAAAACATAATCCCAAAATATGCAATACACGCATAGCAGTTGCGTGGAGATATCGTCTGTCCGAATTATTTCCGTTGAGATTGTTTATGAAAGCATCAACCCCGCATATATCAATCGTCCCTAATCTATATAGACGTTTTCATTTCCTTTTCTTTTGCATCGAATCGGAAAAATATATGGCGTCCCCGGTCGGTACACTTTAGTCGTTTGCGGAAAGAGGAGGATGTATTTCATCTCCCCTTGCGAGCTCCTTTGTTACGCGTCAGATCTATTTCAGGCTTCGTTTTGCCGTTGTTGATTTATTGGCTAGCTACGCGAGATTCGAATGAAAAGTCGCAACACTGACTCGCCCTTATAGGATCGGCGATCCGGAAGCACGCGAATAGGTTAACAAAGGGCTCGGCCAGTAGCGCCGAGTAAACAGGGATCAAAGGTTTTTCCAATCGCATTCAAACGAGACACGAAAATTCATAGCCAACATAAACGTAATAACATTATGAGCATGACTTACGAAGTAGGGTTACGTCGTAGTTGATCGACATTGGCTTTGGATAGAGTCGACGTCATTAGGGACGAGCCCAGTTACTTAGTCGTTTACCTAGTAATCATCTTTTGTGCATAACTTCACTAAACCCATACTTTAAAACTGCACAGGTGTTACTAAATTTAATCAAATTGCCAACCATTTATATTTTACTATATAGTACAGTCAGTCATTTACAGAAATGAGTAAGTATCAGGGGTTAAAGTAGAAGAAAGCAAGGTACTTTTAACAACTGAAACTCCCAGATAGTTAAAGAAGAAACTAATACCAAACTCAGCTAAACAAATAAAAGAGAATAACTCAACACCAAGTAACTCGTTCAAAGTCGAATTGTACAGAGCCCGAACTATAGTGACCACGAAACAAATCTTCTTAGCGAAAACAATATGATGGCTGAATCTGAATTCTAATTAAATACACTCTCACCCATTAGAATTTTTAATCAGGCCGTTCCCATTTTACCGATTCGACGTAAAGAAAAGGAATTGCTACGCAGTTAAGGTAACTAATCTTGACGTCTCAAAAATTTCATTAAATCCGCGTCGACCCAAATTGAATTTACATCTTGCGCAAATAATTTCCGTATCCTTTACCCGTCGAGGAGGAGGGAGAGGAGCGTCAATTTTAGCTGTTTGTTTTTGTGTTGATTGCTAGATTGTAAATAATCGTGTAAATATAACATAAGTGTCGGTTTTTGCCACGGACCTCTAAAAATATATGCCAAAGTACCACCATAGAACTTACATCGAGTAAAGTAAAATACCCAACAACAGAGGAAAGGCGGACAAAATTCGTGGTACAACACCGTTTGTATTTCTCGAGGTCTGTGGTCTGTGGTCTTGCTCGCGCACCACCCGCACAATGACTAAAGCACCCTCTAGTGCACAACTCACACGCGCACAACATTCGTATAACCTTTGACGCGTGCATATGTAATAAAAATGTATTCCATCCATATCATTCTCGCCGAGACAGACAGGTAGGCAACAACGACATCATTCAAATAGAACGAGACGCGTTGCAGGCAGTACGCAATCTGCGCAGTCTGCGCGTCGACGGCAACTATCTGCGCAGCGTACCCACGGAAGCGCTCGCGACGCTCCCGAGACTAGAGGTGTTGTGAGTATTCCGAAGGCACACGGGGCGACACTGGCATTTGGACTGGCTATACAACGCAGCTGATTACGCTATCGCGAAGGACGTTGAGCTTCTGGCACAGTATTGCGACGCTTATCGATAACTTTCCTGCCTTGTAATGTTCTAAATAAGTAAACGGTAGATTCGTTATTAGGGGATGCGCTGTACATATTGATTAGTTCGGTCTTCGGCCCTGAGATCGCATGCCAGGAACTCCTTCCATCTCGCAATTGAAAGATCCAGTAAAACAATACCCAAAAACAAAAAATTTCAGATGATTAACGTTGTATGCTGTGTAACTAAAGGAGAATATCCCGTTTACAACAAAAACTAGTGATTTGTCCAACGAACACAGGGATACGATCTGTTGATCTGTTGATCGATTTCTAAGATTTATAATGTTTTACTTCCCTTACAGGGAGGTATTTAATTCTTTTCATTTTCTATGTGAGCTTATTACGTAATACCCATTTGAATGAACTACGTAATTAACTGAACAACAATTAATTAATGAACAAATGATTACTTATTATAAGTAAAACAATTAGAACTTAATCTTATTGATGATAACACCTGATAAACATATTCTAGTTTATTTTTGCTTAAATGGATTTTTCCTGTTCCTCTTGTATATATGAATGAGCCATCATTTACCTACCAGTCTAGAAACCTACATTCTCCGAAAAATCCTCTTAAAAAATTCAGTCAATAAAAATGCACTCGGTTTTGGTAAACTTCAAGGGACTTTCTACTCTAATAGTCTAAGAGCCAATGGGCGGCTACCTGCATCCATTTGACCAGACCTGCGTTTTTGTACATTGAGGCCCCTACATGATACATGATGTGGGGACTAAGCCCAAAGCGGTGGACCCAGGTACTGCGCTGGTGAGACAGGTATTGATTTTTGGCGAATTTTAAATATATTTGACCACGGCTGCCGTTTTGAAATCTTAAAATACAGTGTGTCCAAGATAAGGATGCACAGCATGGGGATCTCGAAAACTATAAGAGATACAGTGTCGGTTAAATTAGACAAAAGTTGCGCATTTTGATACCGAACAAGATCCCGTTTTACAAATTTGAAAATTCCAAGCCGTTCCGGAAATATCCGAGAAAAACCGAAATATTGCGATTTCGTTTTTATTATTTTTTAAAGCTATTTGAAAAGATATGAAAAAACGGAAAACACTTTTCCATTGGCACTTTTTAATCTCTCCAAATTGACGTTAACAAATTTTCATTACAGCGTTTCGATTCCATGGAACCACCATCAACTTTGATTTTTCTTATGGGACTGAAAAAAAGTACACACAGTATTAGGTTGTGCTTTTCATTGCGAATTCAACGATGTACGATACAATACGGTTACTTATGTTTTTATCCAGAAAAATGGCTTTTTAATACATTTCAAGTATTTTATTGTAGTAGGCCATGAGATCCGAACGATGAAAGGCAAAAGAAAATGGTTGACAAGTTCGAGTTAATGTGTTTATTTATTTACTAACTCTAACTGTTCATTTAACATAACAACTAAATCCAACAAGTTAATGAAAAACAAATTCTATAACAAATGTTCGAATAAATGACCTCCATTTTCTAGGCATAAGTACGCCCGTCTCACGGTAGACTCCAAAACACGACTTAACATTTCAGGAGTAATTTTATTAAACGCTGCTCGTACTGATTGACGTAATTGTTCCTCGTTGTCAAAACATTCTTTGAATACCTCATTTTTTATGTAGCCCCATAAGAAAAAGTCCAAGGGAGTTAAGTCCGGGGACCTTGGAGGCCAAGGTGTTTCACTTTAAGTCCCAATGTATTTTCCATCAAACCGTTCAGTTAAATATTGGCGAACTTCTCTGGAGTTATGGGCTGGGGCACCATCTTGTTGGAAACAGCAGCCTTGCACAGCGCCTAGCGGTAAATCATTTAAGGCATCTTCTAAATCGTGCCTCAAGATGTCAAGGTACCGCCTGGAAGTTAAGGAATTATTATAGAAAATAGGGCCTATAATCTTGCTACCAAAAATCCCACACCAAATATTAAACCCAAAGCGAACTTGATGTCTGGATAGTCTATTAACACGTGGATTTTGTTGCGACCAATAGTGTGTATTGCGCCTGTTATAAATACCGTTATTGGTCACTATACTTTCATCAGACCAAATCACTTTATATGGAAAATTAAAACTCTCATCACACATCCTGGTATACCACTCACAAAAATGTCTACGTCGTTCGTCGTCACCCGGTTTTAATCCTTGACATATTCTGAATTTGTAAGGCTTAAATTCATTTTTCCTTAAAATAAACTGAGCTGTAGATTTAGCTACCCCATTCTGGTCTTCAATTTCTCTGGTAGAAGTTTGTGGATTTTCGATAACAGATTGTAGAACAATGTATTGGTTTTCTTCATTGGAAGGTTTTTGTCGGGATAATGCAGGCTTCTTAAATGATCCATATTCTTTCAGATTAAATAACAAACGCCGAAAAATACTCTTGTCAGGTTGTCTCCGCTCTGGGTATTTGTTAGAATACATACGCTCGGCTTCCACACAATTTCTTTGGCATCAGATGTAGCAAGACAGCATATCACATTTTTCTTCGTTTGTAAAATTACCTCCCTCCATTGTAGAACAAAATAAATTAGAAAAAGACAACAACAATAAAAATACAAAAACAATAACTAAAGGAATAAACTTATGATCGACTGATAACAAAGACAAATAACATTAATGTGTCATTGAAATTGACTGGATGTCATTTTGTCATGGCCTACTCCATTTAAATGCTGAAATGTATTAAAAATCCATTTTTCTGGATAAAAACATAAGTAACCGTATTGTATCGTACATCGTTGAATTCGCAATGAAAAGCACAACCTAATACTGTGTGTACTTTTTTTCCGTCCCATAAGAAAAATCAAAGTTGATGGTGGTTCCATGGAATCGAAACGCTGTAATGAAAATTTGTTAACGTCAATTTGGAGAGATTAAAAAGTGCCAATGGAAAAGTGTTTTCCGTTTTTTCATATCATTTCAAATAGCTTTAAAAAATAATAAAAACGAAATCGCAATATTTCGGTTTTTCTCGGATATTTCCGGAACGGCTTGGAATTTTCAAATTTGTAAAACGGGATCTTGTTCGGTATCAAAATGCGCAACTTTTGTCTAATTTAACCGACACTGTATCTCTTATAGTTTCCGAGATCCCCATGCTGTGCATCCTTATCTTGGACACACTATATATTATTATAAAAAAATAAAATTTTGAAAGTATTTGACCAGATCTGCCATTGAGATATACTATTCGTTATAGTCTTAAAAGCCTATATTAATAACGGCAGACGTTTTTATTGAGTACACTCCTCACTAGATAACAAAATCTTTACTATTACCCGGTCAGATGTATATGTATTACGATCGCTGTTTTACATAAATTTAACTCACTTTTTTTTTCACGATAAGTATAGAAATTAATACTTTTTTTGTACTTTATATACTTAACTTTATAAGATTGATGAAAAATGAAGTAGATATATTACGAAATAATCTGAAATCTTGGGGTATAATGCAAGTAACAAAAAACAATTCAATTCTGTATTTCAATTTTTTTTAATTTATTTAAGACAAAAGTCGTAGTCATGTTTGTCGTAGGTTAACTCTTCTTCATAATCCATTGAATCGGACTCTGTAAAAATAAACCGTAAGTTGTAAAATATAAATAATTAGTAAATTGATCCGAATATATTTCATAAAGAATTAATTTTTATCAACTTACCAGGTACATTAATAATTAAGTCGCTAATAAAAGATGGAAGTTGATATCTCCATCGAACCATTTAAAGACAAATGTGTTATCCTGCTCAAGCCAACCATACTCCAATGGGTCCAAGGTTGAAGGTTGCTTTTTGTAAGCGTTTTTCCAAATAGTTGAAATGTAATGCGCTCTCAGAAGTTGTTGGGAGAGTTCATTCTTACATTTTAGTATTGAGGTTGCGTCAAAATTGTGTCTTTTTTACTAAAATTTTCGTTCACATCCGAAGCTTTGTAACTACTCACGATACTACAGAGGGTCCTTTCTCCAACAACTGATCTAATTCAGCGCCAATATCTTTTTCTGCGACTTCATCTGTCTCAGAACCGTTTACGTCTTTTACAAGATTATCAAGTACTATTGTATCATCAGTTATTGAACTATCAACTAATGTTGATGGTTGCTCAATTGCAGACGACGACCTAGTGGATTTTTTGAGCATTTTCAAAACTGTCTGACATAACGTTAACCGCATGCTAATGGTCTGCCATTATTATTTTTCGATAATAACAACAATATATTTTAATAGTTCAAAACGGCAGCAGTGGTCAAATATATTTGCGCAGTACCTGGGTCCACCGCTTTGGACTTAGTAGGTCCCCGCATAATGTATAGTAGGTATAGGGGCCTCAATGTACAAAAACCCAGGACTAGTCAAATACGTGCAGGTAGCCGCCCACTGGCTCTTAGACTATAATACTTGTTGTTGTATACTTTGGTCTTAGTGGTTAGTGCTGCTATTAGGGTGAGGTGGGAATCGGTGCATTTTAAAACGCGGAAGTGTGCGATCGGCAAAAAAGGGGATCCATCACGCCAGCGGAGCAGAAAGATGTTCCAGAAAGGTCGATAACAACCGCGGGATGATAGACGACCATTTTATTCAGGGGTTATGATATATGTTTGACAAAGGGAACCCCCGAATTTGCTTGCTAACAGTAATAACGGGCTAATATTCTCATTTATCAGACGCAGGTCCCGGATATATATATACGACAGTCAGACGAAGAAGAGAGTCAAGTTTTCGCCTGACCCATTTTAGAATTACGGGAACTCATTCGCCAACTCGTTTTTTTCCAAAAAATTGAATGGCACGCTTCAGCAAGTTGATGAAATTGATATGGAAAAATTGCCAGAAGTTAGCTATTATGACGTATAAAAAACATTTGACCGAACATTGTGTAAGATAATAAAAATAAAAACACGGAAGATGCGGTATTGTACGCCCAAAAGAATGTCGTAATTAAAAACTCTTCCTTAAACCCGTTTAAACCGCAACAACCGTTTGTTTGCAAAAATACAATACACACGGGCCGATATTCTAAATATAACATCAGATACTCAACGCACAATGATACACTACCTCTTCTTCTTCTCTTCTCGTTTAGTGTCATGCCTTGCACATGAGCGACGAAGACTATGGTCTCTATCAAAACCTCCGCGGTCTGCACGTCCATGACGATGTTCTCCGCGTTCAGTTTGACTTTGATACCGGTGACCCACTTGAGCAGGGACCTCAAGCCACTGGACAAGATTTGTTGGCCGACGGCTTCTTCGAGCTGCAATCGCCTTCTGCCTTATCTTCTGCCACAGCTCGTTGATCGCATGACAGTAGGGTGACCCCAGAGACTGTCTCCTCCCAAATCTCCAAGTTGTCGAGGCAACGCTTTAACCCCTTCTTGCACAGCTTGTTGTTTAGCGTCTGCCAATCGAGCTGGATTTGGCGGAGGCGTAGGGGAAAGTCGCCTATGTTGGCATACTTTATTGAACACAAAGCAGCATAATATTTCAACTGATTTTCTGAATTTATAGACTTTTCATGTTTAATTTTTTTCTTGCGGTGTGCTATCCTAGGCCTTCCTGTCACCTATGAAGGCACATGGTACGCAACCTGCTACGCAGTGATAATTTACATAACTAGATAATACAAGATAGATTAAAAAGTATTAACTAAGATGATATAATTTTTATGAACAAAAATCGCAGATGAAGCGCTTTTCCTTTCTATCCACCCCAGCACACTCTCAGTGGCACCATGCGTTGCATTTTTGGCATCGGATCCATATTTCGTTACTAAGAGACCGTGAGGAAAGTTGGTTACAATATAAACAGCCTATGTCATATTCTTCGCCGTCTTCCATATTAGCAGTATTGCAGAATTCTTCTTGGTCATCTTCTTCTCCTACAATTTTCTTCTCCACTTTCTTTGCCAAAATTTTTCTTGATTTTTCATCTTCATCTTTTAACTTGAAAATATCAGGTGTTATATTTAATACTTCAGTTTTGCCTCTTTTGCGCTGGCATGGTTATATCTATAACTTTAGTTTTTGTGAAGTTTGAGCTAATCTTTCTTCAGGCTGTTGATCCAAAGGCTTATCTGTGGTTAGTGATCCAATCCTCAAAAATGTCGGAATTAAATGAACATAATCCCGTTTTACTGGAGTAACACATTTTACAAATACATTTTTCAAAAGATCGGGCATCTGAAAATCTGTTACCAGGATTTTGTCTAAGCCATCTTTGAATTTCTTGGTCATAGCATGTTTGTAATGGTCCAAAAAGTTCAACCTATAACGCAATGCTTGCAATGACCAGGAAAGCAAAACAATACAATTCCAATTTGCAGGAGCATTTTATTTTCTAGAGAAGCTATGGTTGGTGTAGTGGGCAAAATGTTGAAGCCACTTTATGCAAAAATTCCCCTATCCAGAAAACCTTGTTTCCGTTTCTAAAATATGATTCTTTAACATATTTTCCTTTTCACGTGGTAATAATATATTACAGCCTCCCAAATCATCCTTTGAATTGTCATGTCTTCTAAATCTTCTCCGCATTTTTGTCTCTTTTGCATTCTCTTCTATTATAAAACAAAATTAAAAACAAATCGAACATGTAAATGTTTGAAAATTAAATCAAATAGATCGATTAGCACAATTACAAACTTAAAGCCACATGCATAAATCCGATACCCGTATTACCATGTAAAAAAGTATGTCGCGTTTGTACGTAATACATGACTACTAAACGATATGTAATATTTTCTATATTGGGACTTACCGAAAAATGATTTAAATGATTATTCGAAGATAAACTATTCTGGCAGTTATTTCCTTTAACAGACATGTCAATGTATAAAATTAATTTGTTGAATGAGTACGTTCAAAAACATTTTCAAAATCTTTGCGACTTCCGGCTAAGCTTTTCAAAAGCTTTTTCAAATCCACATTTCCATGCCGTAGCGCTTATGTCATATTTGTTATCCGACAACTTGTTCCCTTCCCTTTGACTTAACAAACACACATATCAATTGATATTCTTCCTCTTAAATACAAAAAATAATAGAGTAGTTTTACAAAGGAATTCCGTTCCAAAACATGAGGTATCGAAAGGTTCGTCAAATAAACCCCTACATACCATATTACATATCTTGGATTTTTTCATTTAAATATATCATACAGCCATATAACTTTCTGCCAAACCATCAATTTTACAGAAGCATTTGTGCGAAGGATAAAAATAGGGACCAAAAATTCGTACCACCGAACCTATTGATCTTTTCTGTAATTTACTTTGTTCCTTTTTTTTTACTTCACGTCTGGTGCGATTTGCCAATGATTTGGTCAGTGCGCCTACCTGCATCGATTTGTTTGTAGGTTCTCAATGGCGTACAAAGAATTAAATACAAAAACTTTTAAAAAAAATTGGTCTACTTACGGTGTCCCAAAATATGTCTTCAATTCAAGTCTAAAGAATTCTAAAATCATTTTCAGATAAAATGTGTTTTTATAGCATTAGACGTGTTCAGGACAATTACAAATATTTATTGTTATGAAAAATTATTTTTTTTACTTTTTTTGCTTTTACAAGCAAATTAATAATATTTGAATATCGATTAGACTTAAACAAAAGACTTAAACAAAACATTGAGGGTGTATTCAATATCACCTCATACATCACCAACGTTGTAGTGTATGGTACATTGATTTATCGTCTACTTATAAATTGTACGAAATTGTAATTCACTCAAAGTCCCAACTATTCACGAAATATTGGAACGACATATGTACGCAGATATGCACATGTAACGAAGATATTCGCCGTTCAAGAAATCGCAGTTATATATGGCCCGATAAACGCATATAATTGGTACAATTAATGTAAATAATGTGACCGAAAACAAGTTTACTAATTAAACCCCACGTAGCGTAATTCAGCGTATTTCATATTGAATCATAGCTTAATTACAATTACGTTGACGTTGAATCAAATAAATTCAATTATTGACGCTCAAAACGTTTGTTCTCGAGGGATTTCTTTAAACAGACTAACAGAACCTATTTTATTTAACACTACATTCTTCAGACCGCGACCGTACAGAAGCGACGAAATTTTTGGGAAGAAGAAATGTCGCTCACAAAAATGGTAGATACCATCCAAAACATTACCGGGTACTTTACTATACAACATGGTAAAATTCAGGGTGTTTCATTGATATACGTCACGTTTTTCCTCATTTTAACTGCTTCAGATATTTTTTGGGAATTTGGTAGGGGCCCACAACGCATGCATGCATTCAATAGTTTTCTTCTGGTGAAAATTATGACTATCGAAAAAGATGATACGTCGCCGATTTTTCAAAAATTACGTTTTTAAAATTATTTATTTTTTAGTAATTAGTAGATTTATTTTTTAGTAAAACTATTCTCTTGACTTTGCGCCGTCCGATGAAGAGTTTTCAGCTCGGTTTCCAGGGAAAAATAAAAACAAATAAACAATAAAAATTTTATTTTATAATTTGTATTAAATTAAAATTAAATAACCGCAATTTACTATTACTATACAACAATAAATGTTTTCCTTAATTCAAATTTAATAGGGATTTCATTTAGTTTTTAGTCGTACCTAGATTTTTTTTTTGTTATTTTGGATTACTATGTGTCAGTTTCAAGTAGCGTGGATCCATTTCGCTGAGTGAAAAACGATGGTTGTCTTCAACTTCATACAGCCCATTTAAAATATATTCAATTATTTTTTGCGTTAAGCAGCCCCCCCCCCCCCCTTTTTAAAGTTATGAGCGTCTTCGTCGAAAAACAAAAAGTCAAGACGTAATTTTTACCAAGAAATAAATCGCAATTTTAAAAATACAATTTATTTTTGGAATAGAGAATGGTATAGAAGAAATATTGAGTAAGTGTCAATAAACATGACAAAAGTCGTTTTTTTCATATTTCCAACAGCCCCAAGACACAAAAATAACAATATTGCAGACCTACATTGATATTAATATCAATTTAGTCCTCGTGTAGACTAAAAATTGTTATTTTTTCAAATTTCGGCTCGTGCATATATGTGACGTCAGAGAATTGAGGCTCATCGTCGCTTCTGTCTTGTATGTATTCTGCGACGTCGTTCTAAACGCTTATTATAATAAGTAAAGTAATAAATAAGTAATAGTATTCGCTTCTTAACGGACCTCGCATGCGTGTCTGTAACGGGGTAGAATATGTGCCGTCCTTCGGCGGCTTTGCATATAGGACGTTCGGCTAACACCGACAGCGGTTAACGATCTGCCCGTGACAGATTAATTTCTTAACCTACATGTGCAACGACAACAAAACGCCGATAATGACGTGTATAGGGGCGGGCGGGTAGTAAAATAAACACCCTTCATCAGCTGTTTGCGTAGGTAAACTAATTATGCATGGGTATAGTTAGAACATAGACATTGAAATTGTTGTTGTCGCCATGATGGATGGGTTCGGAACTAAAACTAACAATTCCGACATTAACCGCGTGTTTACTTTGCAGGAACATCGGTAACAACTTGATCCCTAGTTTGAATGTCGACTCGTTTCCGCCGATGGAAAATCTTCTGGTTTTGTAAGTAATTTAAAGGTTTCGTTAAAATTATATGCTAAAATTGTTTCGGGAAATTGTATTAAAGGTTGGATAACGAAGGCTACAATAATCATAATTCTATTTCGTATGTAACAAGAAATATTTTACGCACGCAAGTAAAATTTTAATTGCGCATGTGCAATATAATAAAACAAGTAATATTTAAAACTATTTATGCCGATTGCAAACTCAAAATTTAAAAAAAAATGTATTTGAGAGGAACTGATTTTTAATATCTTGAGATCAGATTATTTAGAATTTAATGCCATAATAAATAATTCACCCCATTTCTGCTTGAATTTAATTGTTCAATGATTTGGTCGTACGTCATCTTGGGGTCTTCTATTATATGAATACACCTCGCTATAATTTCATAATGCAAATATTAAACGAAAAAAAACGATATTTCTAAAATAATTTATTTTCTGATTCAGTAATAAAGTGATTTCTTAGTTAAAAAAACAAAAACTTCACTTAGAATTTTTGAGTGAAATCTTCGTATTTTTGCCAGAAACTATTTCTCAATACATTTTAGCAACCAGGTGTAAGGCTTGTTCTATTTGAGTCCAATGTCTATCTGTTGCGTCACTATCCCACTCACAATTAAAGCATGGAAATTTTCTATAATCCTGTCCTGGGAGCACGCACAGCACTTTAAGGTCATCACAAAGCATCCACTGATGTTCTTGGTAGTTTATTTCAAAACAGTCAAAAACAGTCCTACATTTTCATGGGTTTGCTTAAGAGTCAATAAACAGGTGCCACTTCTTTTATATACTCAAGCAAGTCAGGAATATTGTTGCAGTACACTAGTGATCTTGAGTAAAATATCGAGATAACTCTTTCGCAATCCCGGTAAAAGCTTGGTGTGACGCCTGGTTCCAATAAAGGCTTGGTCACGACGTCTCTAATTAAATCATTTAATTCGCTCTGGTTAAACACTCCGGGCTCTCTGAAATCTGGTGTAAAATCTGAATCGTCTGGGTCGGACTTAGATTTCTCCCATTCTGACGATATGACGTTTTCTAATTCTTTTGGAGCGCTAGGTATCGGTACATCTGGTCCATGAGGAACTGGTCGAATAGCAGAGTCAAGACTGGGATACACAATTTCTTATTTTTTCTGTTGAATCATCACTGTGATTCCTAGGCTATGATTCCTAGGCTATATATATATATGTATATATATATATATATATATATATATATATATATATATATATATATATATATATATATATATATATATATATATATATATATATATATATATATATATATATATATATATATATATATATATATATATATATATATATATATATATATTCGCGCTCCGAAAACACTTCGAACACTCGCTCGGAGCGCGAGCATTGAAGATGCCAAGTGAGATTTTGGCGAAACGGGGACATCGCAACTACGATCGGGCGAAATTAACAACGCGACAATTCAGGGGGCGGAGCCACCTCCCCCCACGCACAAGCAGCACCGTTACCATCTCCGGCGCAGAGTATAAATACCACACGCACCGCCGATAACCTCCCAGTGTTCGAAGTGTTTTCGGAGCGCGAGCATTGAAGATGCCAAGTGAGATTTTGGCGAAACGTCTGCAGGATTCCAGTCGGAGTTCAACGAGCGAACGGATGATATCCCGGAATATAGTGTCATCATATATATATATATATATATATATATATATATATATATATATATATATATATATATATATATATATATATATATATATATATATATATATATATATATATATATATATATATATATATATATATATATATATATATATATATATATATATATATATATATATATATATATATATATATATTCGTAGACTGTCTACGTCCAACATCGGAGATGGAAGGACCTCTGAAGAAGCTCGCCACTCGTGCTAGCGAAACGTTAGGAAGTAATTCCAATCGACGACGGCCTTTAAACCCGAATGAAGATAATAGCTTATCAACGGGCCGCGAAAGCCTTAACCAATTTATTTACCGAACGTGTTGCATACTTTTTCTACGGCCGTTAGCTTTTGGGTACATTTTCGCTAAACAACAAACAAAATGGACAAACGTCAAAATTCAAGTCGTGGGAAATATCTGCGAAAACATCCGATTGATCCCCAAACTCATGCGGTAAAATCCCTGAAATGTCCGAAGCGGCTCGGATCCGTTAGAAACGAAACTGACGTGGTAAAGTGATGATTCCCACACGCTAGTAATTAGGTATTTTACAGACGGGAGTAGAAAAATATAATTAATACACGTAAAAGTGGACAAAAGGAGCGAAGTCTACTACTCACATTCAATCACAAAACTGTCTTTAAATACGCCCATACGGGCTAGACTAATTGACAATTATATTTCAATACTAAAGTTTCTTTTAAAAAAAGTGCAAAAAATGGATAGGCTTCAAATGCTCTATAACATATATTGCCATTGTAACTTGCCAAAAGGTTTAATGGTCTATTTTATTGGTTTTATAAGTCCCTGTCGTTGACTGTTTACCAACCCATCCTTATATATTTACTGCTTGTGGCACCGAAAGATGCCCGAAAAAATAATTATAATTATATTAATACAATAAAATTGCCACGTTTGTTAAGAAAAATTTATGTTTCAAAAACCAATATCGGCCGAAACGGAAACTGCACGGTCATATTTTACCCACGGTTGGCTAGGAACTCGACAGGTTAACTAGCGAAATAAAATTAATTTTGTAATATATTTCCTTAATTTTAGAGGGTAAATTACGCCGGCGGTTTCCGCTGTAATAAATTGCTCCGGAAAAAAAACTCAATCGCCTGAGAGTCGCCAATCGTGGCAGTTTCATTTGCAACGCTGGATTTGCACTAGGGGAGCTAGAACCACAAAATACCACACAATCAGTTGTCTATATCTGGATGTGCAATTCTCGTTTATTTGTCTAATAGCTGAGTTTAATATTGATTGTTTCGTGATTTGTTACATACGTAGATTTACCAAAAGACTGAAAACGCGAACTTTTATTTAGAGATATGAAAAGTTCCATATTTGGAACACTTGTTTTGAATATTAAATACCGCCTTAGTGTTTCGATGATTCATTCTAATAAACTATATGAATTATTAATAAGTGGAAACAGTATACAATACTGTACAATCCTGAGTTCAAAATATTAATAACTAGGCCAAATCACATAGATAAAATATGTTTAATCACCAAATTAAATAGTGTTTTGATTAAATTTGAAAAAAGTATTGTTGTCCATTAACTTTATAACTATCTGACATAACTTTGACGTAATTGGCTAAATAAACATACCAGAGTCATACGACAGGATGAGTGGCTGGTTCACGCTACCCAAATTCTATGTAACCGGCGGATCTACCATTTTAATATAATTATTTGATTCTTCTATATTTCACATGAAAGTAATATACTCCAACTTATTCAAACCAAAGATGCGTTCAGCATTTAAAAAGAACCCATTGGGTTAGATACTATAAAACAGCAATTTTAATATGTTTGTGGGTTTAATCTTAATATTTTGAGCTCCGGATTCTGCAGTGAAGGCCACTGTTTGTGTTTTTGTATTGAATTTTGCCAACGATTGGGGAAAGATATTTCTTTGCATTATCAAAAACAATTTTTTTCATGGCACTCGAGATGAAATATTTTGCGGCCCCCGCGGTGAAGGGATCTTTGGGTTAAACTCGTTTTTAAGATTGGTAAATTCAAACCCGAGTTATGGCAACGCCGTCGAGGCAATAAAACAAATCGGGAAAATCCTTTTCAATTTTTCGATGGGGGAGAACCGGGCGAGTCGAGAATTTATATGAACACACGAAAAAGTAATCTGACGCGCGTAACCAAACGGAACACGCAGCCAGTACGTATTTTATGGAGGGGATTAGAGACAGGGAATTTTCCTCGCGCTCTGGGCCGAGATTTTTGATTAATTTCGATGTTTGTCGCAGCCTGTCGCGTTTGCGAAATTTACGGCCAACAAGATTCACAGCTTCGTGCGTTGCGGAAATGCTATACAGGGTGATTTACGATGGATGGCAAGTTACAGATTGATCGTGAACGAGACTCAGCACCCTTCTAAAATATTTTCGACCAGCCTCTTCTTCAAAAAAGTAGCATCCACTGTGATGCTTTAAATAGGTCACCTTGTATATTGTTAACTATTTTCGGGAAATCAATTAGTTGTAGAGAGCTCAAATTTTGCAACGTTTTATGTATACAGGTGAAATGAATGAAATTTTCCTTTTTAATAGATATATTTTGATATTTTATCAACACTTCTGGAAGACAAGTAAAACTCTGGAAAATGATAAATAATATTCCTATACCAAAATTTTAAGGACTCCTAAATTAAAGCAAGTATCTGTAAAAATTGGCAAATTGACCTTTGATAGCCATGAGATTGTGTAAATAATGTTAACTACTCAGAATACATTTTGTTAATCTTTCTATATGTTCTTGCTATTATCACATTATTCGAGACAAATGACCAAATTCATCAAAACTTTAATATGATGTTTTCAAAGACTTTCTCAATATGATAATCGATTAATTATCAATCAATCAAATTGATTGACAATATCATGGCTACCTAAGGCAAATACGTCAAATAATCCTATTTTTACACAAACTTGGTTTTAGTTCGGAACCGTTTTTTCTTTCCACCAAGTGAACAAAATTTCTGCTCACATATGCACGCAATAAAGATTTATTGAGAGCCATGTTTTAAACAAAAAAATAAGAAAAAAATATATTTTTTCTTAAACTGCTAAGGATATGTATAAGGAGGTATTATATAAAAATAACCCGAAATTGATGGACGAAAAATTCAATTATATACAGTGTAGTATTTAAAATATCAACTTCGATGCTCCTTCACCATAAAAGTCTAACCAGTCATCCATTGTGAATCACCCTATATGTACACCGAATACGATGTACAGAGTGGATACCAAGTGTCCCAGTGAGAATTTTTATAAAATTTCTTTTACGGAACAAATATTAGAAAAAGCGACATCGCAATCTTCAGCGAATTTCGTTTTTTTTTTTTTTTAATTGTTATGCTTTGTCTGGTAAAATAAAGTGGTTCAGAAAAGTTGTATTTATCTTTATTTCAATGTTCCATTCGGGTTCAGTTATCGGGTTCAAACGAGCTAGGTCTAGTTTAAAACAGCGTTGCCAACTTTATAATATATGTTATAAATAATATACACTGTAAATCTCTTAAGATTTTTAATAAAACAGTACTCAAACCAAAAGTACTGACAAATATAGTAATAAATACCCAATATAAGCCCTTAGCAGCCTTATTTTTAAAATGGGGTATCAATGAAAACTATGACAAGAAAAAAATTGTTATAACATAATAGCAATTCCATAAGATGACGGGACAGGTAGGCTTTGAAAAGTTACTTTTGAAGAAGTCTCTGCAAGAGTTCACGCAGGGCGATACTTAATAGTTAATCAATTTGGTCTGCGTCCTGCATAACCAACCGCAACCATTTTAAAGTCAGTAACGTAAGTAAGTGCATTTAAAGTGCATATGCATATTTTTCTGGTTTTTCTTAAATAGTTCCTAAAACTGTGTATATTATATAATATTTTAATATTTTGTGCGACTTTTGATTTATACAAAGTGGTACATGTTTGGAAGTCAGGTTCACCGCATTAGATTTTGGGGTAGTAGGGTAGTACTCAAAGTACGAGAAAATTTTTCATAAAAATTACTTGCATTTTTCTTTTTTCATCGTTACACCATCAGAAGACGTAACTATCCTTGTCTCTATTTCAACACTTTTTTGAGTAATTGATTCTGATTACAAAACATTAGAGATAGCGAAAGACTATAAAGGCGTAAACAGACTATTATCACGTCACGTGAGCTCACATGCTATCACGCTAGGTCACGACACAACCGAAATATCTGCTATTCAATTTATACGTGTTTATAAATAGACCATCTCATCAGCTCACGGCAAGTGATGCGTGACAGCACAATTTTGTTTCTGCAAAATTTACATATTCGACACGCGTGAGCACGATTTCAGAGTTTGGCGGCAGTGTTTTTAGTACAGATAGTGGAATTTAAACTGAAAATGGACGAAATTTTAATTGAAACAGTTAGACAACATGAAGTTCTGTATAATCACTCATCCCGTGACTATAGGGATCAGCGTATGCGACAAGAAGCCTGGGAAGAACTCGACAGGGAATTAAAAATATCAGGTAAAGTTTAAGGTTTTTATTGAAATAAATAATTAATTAACCGTTAACGTGATGTATTCTTCCTCTACGAACCATGCCCATTTGCCGAGGTACAGCGCCAGTAGGCGAATTAAAATATTCCTTAAAAGCCTCTCGAGTTGTAAAGGCGTCATTAGCATAGTTTCTTCTTAGCCCTTGGAGATTCTGGAGAGCCGCTTCTGGTGATCCTAATGTAGCGATATCAGGTTCCAATGACTCTGAACATAATATGTTATGTAGGCAGCATGAGGCCAGCACAACTTTATCAACTAAGTACGGCTGTATTTCCAAGTGTCTGCGAAACACTCTCCAGCGAGCAACCAAAATACTCTCCAAAATGAAATCTGCTGCTGTTTTGAGTGGTAACGCTTCATCGCCAAGAATAACATGTGCCTGTGGTAATCCATTTATTTCGAGAGGAGCATTTTCAGGTAAACCTGACTTCTCGAAAATTCCACCATCGCTATTCCTACCATAAGACCCAACGTCAATTGAAATGAACTTATAGTCGGCATCAACTAGTGCCAACAGGACTATTGAATGATTACCTTTGTAATTATAAAATGTAGAGCCTGCCACACCGTTATAATGATTACGGTCATCATTACCTGCATACAGAACTTGATGCCCCTCTATCTGAACTTGACCTGACCTTGGCCATCGCATTTCACTAATCCCAAGGATTTCGATGTTCAACCTTCTCATTTCTTTTATAGCATTGTGGACTTTGCCAGCTTCAAACATACTTCGCGCATTCCATATAGCAATCTTCCTCATGACTGGCCCGGAGATTCTTAGCACCCCCTGACCATCAAAGGTCTGCCGGGGACTGAGGGCCGTAACTTTAGCTTTTCCAGTCATGCTGATGATTTGTCCTGGGGAGTTTAATGAGGTAGTTTCCCGTTGCTTTCCTCATCGCAGCGTCTTTGCCGTTGCAATCGATATGTGATAGTCGCCAAAGATTTTCTGGTATCGAGCCTTAAATGAAGTTTCTTCGGTAGCCTCGACCCAGTAATGTCATAGCTGCTTCCCTATGCCATGCTAGTTTTGGTCCACCCCGGGTATTTCATTTCCCCGGTACCACTCATATCTGAGAGGCGTTCCCCTATCCGCCACCCGGGGAGGCGCCCGATGGGGGACTAGCAACCCCCGACGGGCTGCATTAATTGGGCACTGGATATTAATATTCTTTCCGTCTATGGCAGCAATGCAATTCGGAAAATTCCATATTTGCTTAAATTTTGCTGCAGATTTGTTCCATGTATCTGTCATTGGTGCAGGCATCACAATAGGTCCCAAGTTTTAACCTAGTCTGTAGCTAAAGCCTACACTCCTAAATGAATTCCCTGTGGCAAGGAACCTGAAACAAAATAATGAACTAACATCATTTTCAGCGGATAAAGACAAACAAATGTGGGATAAACATCGAACAAACGTCTTTTCTTTTGCCCTATATGGAAGGTCGAAGGTATTATTAAAATTTGTTGCTGACTAATTGTATTATGTTAAACTATAATATGTTTTTCTTTTAAGGACATGCAGCAATTTAGTATCCGATGTCGAACATATTGCGGATGTGCAAGAATCCGAAGACATAGCAGAGGCAGAGATAACTCACACAAATTCAGAGACAGAGGTATCCCAAGACAGTAGAAAGAAATGAAAACACGTCACAAGAAACAAATCCAGCAGCAGAACTGGTCCATATAATGCAAGAGAATGCAAATCTACGAAAAAAAAAAAGAATATCAGGAATAAAAGAAGGCAGAAGCAAAGAAACCTCCGCTCTTGGAACATATGGACGATATTGACTTGTTTTTCTTAAGTATGGTAAAAATGACGAAAAAGCTGCCAAACTACGAACAAACATCTGTTCAATTAGCAGTGAGCAATGCAGTACTTCAAGCTGAACAACGAAGTTTAGGAAGGCAACCATATCATTGTCTATGCAATCTGCTTGTTCACGCGAGAGCAACCAGTCCTCAAACTGTGAAAATGATGGAAGACCAACGCTTTTAGAATTATCTTCTATTAACGATAGAAATTTCAAAAATCTAATCTTTCTTCGGTACTAATGGCTTTTTGAAATTTAATGTTTTGCTTTTTGATGTCTTCTTTAATTAGCCCGTGCAAAAAATCAAATTCATCTTTGGTCATCCGAAAATACATATGATAACGATCTCGATGCTCCTTTATTTCATGTCTTTCGTGAACTTACAAAAATGCAGCTGCGTTTTCTAAATCTTCTTCAAAGTCTGAGCAACTTAACGAGCTACAAGATTCACTTGCCACCTTCACAAACACAAAATATGTAATAAAAATGATTTGCAGTGTACGTAGTCTGTTTCTAAGCCGTGACAGCATGTGATATGTTGCCGATGTGGCAACACGTGATCTCACGTGACGTGATAATAGTCTGTTTGCGCCTTAAAAATGATGCGGTAGCAATGAAATAATGGAAAGAGAATTAATTGTAAGTCTTGCATTGTTTCAGACTAATGAAACGCAATCAGATCACATACGTAGACGACATGACGTTCAGTAACCTTACGACGCTGAAAGTTCTGTAAGTGCCTCGGAAAATAATTAAATTTGCGCGTACTTTCGGCGACACCCTTAACTCCGTATTCGAGTTATACAACGTCGATAAAAAGTATCCGCCGATTTGCATACGAAATACAGTGAAAAACTTTTTGTTGTTTTCAGCGAGTTGGATGACAACTTTTTGACGCAGATACCGTTGGCGATCACCAAACTTCCAGAACTGCAAGAGTTGTAAGTCGAAAGTTAAACTTTTGACCGTCTTTTACTTGTCGCGTCGGGTAAAGTGTAAACCGTTCTCGTTACTTAAAAACCGCCACCCGATGTTTCGGTTGTTATAAAATCTGCGACTCCATTCGTTCCAGCTCTATATCCGGGAATCGCATCAAGTATATCGCGGGTGGCGTGCTTCAGAAAACTCCCGCCTTGGCATTGCTGGAGCTGAAGGGAAACCCTTTGGTGGCGGTGGACAGTCACGCATTCTCCCACCTCCCTAGGCTTCGAAAGCTGCAAGTATTATTTTCTTTTTTTGTTATTTCCTTCGTTGCTCCAAAATGTAAACAATTTAATTAGTTAAGCTAAACTTTGTTCACGACGTGCTGGTCAAATTTTGTTAAGCATGTTCAAAACAAAAATCTGTTCCACGTAATCAAAAACTAGGCATTATAATATTGGATACGTCACTACAACAACCGAACATACACCTGAAATTAAAGTGTTCATAAGTTCATAAGTTCATAAGGATTTAGGAATTATTGTATGTGGCCGATGTTCTCCATCAGACTCAGCCCTCGTACAAATTCCGTTATTCTACAAAGAATAAATTACTCGTATTCTTCAGTCTGGAGGTTTTTGAGTACCTGATTTTTTCCGCTGCAGCGCATATGTACAATTTGTACTCTGCTGCTTCCTCATCTTCCAAGCAAAACTTGCCCCAATTATTTATTATTGGTACGGCTGATCTTGTGCATATAGTATCTGAGCCTACACTGTCCGGTGCATAGAAAATTTCAGATTTTATCCGTCCACTAGTAATAGGGTGTCGATCTTGTGGTTTTTCGCAGCAAGTATTCGCCAGTTCCCTCTGCTATCTAGGCTTTGATTGCATTCCGTGGTATAGCCAACATTGGCTGTAGACCTATTGGTGAGTGCTCATTTTCTCGATGTCATGTCAATCCATGTCAATTTTATGATATTACGGCACCCATTCGACATTCGTTTTGAACCCGTCAGTGTGCCAATCCTGTCCCCATGAGATCGGTCCTACACTAAGCTGGATAATCAATTGATCTTTGATGAGTTTTCGATTCTTTTGAGAACCATAATGATGGTGACGATAAAATGCCCGCAGCTGATGTTAGAGACTGAGTTTTACTTAATTCAAGCACAGTAATTTTTCTGTATCGTGTTGCTGTAGCTCTGAATATAAACGCTTCGACCGCGAGTACAGTACCTATAGTAGCATTAAATAAGTCCTAAAATCATCTGCAAAAAATGAGTTCATTTTACAAAGAGAGTAGTACTGTTAACCTTTATGTTATTGCTATACTTTTTATTTATTTATATGTCATCATTTCATCAAAAATTGCGACAACATCTAGTAATGCAACGTAAATAATGCTTTATTGTTAAAGAAGACATTTTCAGATTTAAGTCACAATTTGGCGACAGGGCCAATTTTCTGGTCGATCAAGCGCAGCGAATACCATACCACAATAAAATAACTACAAAACAAAAGCTGTTCCAGTTTTTTGCTTAATTTTATTTTGTAGTCAGTATTCCCGTCAATGCTAATTTTGATATACTGAGCGATTTTTATTTAGATGGAACGCAACGTATAATTTGGTAATTATGCAGTGTCAAAATTAAAAACATCAAAAATTGGACCACAAGGTATGGTTTCCAGAACTGTTGTAAAAAATCCCTTTTTCCAGAATACTCTCTGATGCGCGGGAGCTCGCTACGTTTCCCAACTTGAACGGCACTACGGCACTGGAAATTTTGCGCCTAGACAGAGCCGGACTCAGGACCGTCCCAACATCGTTGTGTACGTTTTGTCCCAAGCTCAAGAGTTTGTAAGCGTCCTGATTACGCGTACTTTAGAGATAAACTATCGCCTCTTTTCTTTTCAGAGATATAAAGTCCAACAAGCTGACTTCAGTCCCAGACCTAAACGATTGCCGCGACATGAGAGTATTGTAAGGTTCGACAATACCTTAGGTGCACGGCTAACTTTGATTTTTCTAGAGACTTAGCAAGCAACAACATTAGATCTATCGAGGGTAAGCCCTTCAGGGGCATGTACCAGATGCACGACCTTTTGCTCGCGCGCAATCAGATCCAGTACATTCCGCATGATGCCTTCTACAACCTATCAAAGTTGCAAGTTCTGTAAGTATCGATTTTGTTTCGAGACTTTATCCATAATTAACGTTTTACGATAGGCACCAACAAGTTTAAAAAAACCTTGCATTGCGACCGTTATGTCAAGTTTTAATTGATAATTTCTTTATTTAAATTTTTATTTTAGTTTATTATCTTTACTTTCTTCGACTCCACTTGCAGACAAACTTCGTAAAGTAGTTTTTTGTATTTTTTTTAATTAAAAAAAATGTATAAATCTGATTACATAAAGGGTCCTAATAGAGTATAGTGTCGTTTCAGAGACTTGGAGAGCAACCAAATCTCTTTCATTCATCCGGACGCGTTCCTATCGATCTCCAGAATCGAAGACCTGTAAGTAGAATCTACCAAATGTTATTCAAGTTCAGACCAAACAAGTGGCAAAAAAGGCTTAACTTCGCCCCTACAAGAATTATTAATGAAACACCACTCGTCCTCCCACTTTTTAAAATGCATAACTGGGGATAACAGTGATTCCAGGCAGTGGCTGCTCGTGGGAAAAAAATTAAAAACTTAGCTTAATAATAATAATAACTATTATCATTAATTTTCTCAATTATTTGTTCATGATATTCTAAATTTCCTTTGGATGTACCCTTAAATATACCCTTAGTATTGTATCCAAAACTCCGCAAAATTTAATACAATTAATAGTTGTTGATTGAAACATTTTTATTGTGTATATGTATATTTACCCAATTCTGCATATTGGATAAATACACAGATAGATGATAAAAAATTTAGCAGCACTGTAGCACATGTGTACCAGCCGCCCCTGTTTTTTTTACTTTTTGTTTATTGCTTGTCGGGTCTCCTTCGGATATAATATCTTAGTTCGAATAATAATATAAATCTCCCCCGTTCCAGAAACCTAGGCAACAACGTATTCCCCCAGCTTCCATCCGGCGGCCTCGAGCGACTTCTCCATCTAAAAACGTTCAACAATCCGAATTTACGAGAATTCCCACCGCCAGAGGATTTCCCGCGGATCCAGAGCTTGGTGTTGGCGTACGCGTATCACTGTTGTGCATTCTTACCCCTCGCGCCCCCCGATCCGCCGCCCCGGGCCAAAGACATCATAGTATTCCCGGACATAGAGGACATTGACCTAAATATATGGAACAGCACCGCCGATCTGTGGCCTTCTCAGCGTAAGTGACCCCTTTAAGATTTGAGCCGCGGACGAGAACATTTTATTTGACTTGGTTAACCCATTCTCTTACCCATCATCATCGGCCTTTGTATCGCTGAACGCGGCTAAGCGCTTTAGGGGGGATGGGGGTGTCATAGTATGAGTTTTCATCAACATCCGTACAGTTAGAAGGATCTCAATTATTATTTTTATTCTGTAAATGATCTGTACCACAGCACTTAGACCTCAGCAAGCCGAGTCCTAGAACTCATATAGGTGACGAAAGTGATGAACCTTTTGAAAAAAAAACTGCAGGAGTTGCAATGTAACCAGGAAACTTAAAAATGATTAATAATAACGATTAAAATAAAAAAATGGTTTTAGAGATTTTCTCAATGCACTCCCATATTAACTTTAAACAGCTACCTGTTGTATTTTGTGCTTTACGTATTTTTTTCATTATTTAACACGTGCTCAATTTATTTAAAGCTTAGCTTAAATTCTACTCAAACTTAATTTTATTATATTAAGAAGGATTAATTAACATTGATATTAATGATCCCGAGTTTTCAAAACACGCCGAACGAATGGAGGGTATCCGCCAGCATAACCAGCCCCGCGGCTAATGCCATAATTCCAATAATCAAGTACTGCACACTGTAGAAGCTCGAGTAGTCCGCGTATATCGCAATGACTGCCAAGCCGGACGCCAAACATAATATACATCCTATCCCGATGAACGCCTGCGTTAAACTCTTCTCTAGTTCCGTTCTGAAGACCGCGAAGCCGATGATGACCGTTAGCACGATTACGTAACAGGTAATGGAGATCTTGAATGTATCTTCCGAAGCCGGTAGCCGAGCGAGCTTCCCGTTTCTGCCGTACGTGTTGTCCACGTTTAGCGCTAAAGCCGTTATCGCACATACAAGGGCAAAGAACTTCATAATCGAACTGCGAGTTATGTTGGTTTTCATTTTATCTCCTCTTAATTTCGTCTCTACGTCAATGTCAACGTGTGACGTTGTTATTTACTTCATTCATCCATCACTGGATATCCCATAGGGCGGGACTAAAAGCAAGAGACTGGCATAAAAGGAAGTCCCAAGTTAAGTGGCTGAATCACGCCCCCATAGGCGGAGCTTGAATTGAAGCACTCCTAGATCCTTCTTGCAAACATGCAAAAACATTTTTTTATTGTTATCCATTCGGAGTAATTGTAATAATTATAATCCAAGAATACCCATGCCATGACTTTCTCCGACATTTCCGAGTTCTAATTCCGGATTAGGGACACTCAGGTTATATCGAATTTCTCAAGAATGGTCAACTGCTCTAATAACGCCGCCTCTTTCCCGCGCCATTCCAGAAAACATCACCAAAAGCTTCGGCAGTAAATTCGAAGCGATCTGGGAAAATATCCGGTCGGACTTCACGTACCCTGGTAACTTCCCCTCGTATATGGAGGACTACGGCGTCGAGGATGACGTTTCGTCGAGGTTTGCTGCGGACGGGGTTTCTCTGGTACCCGGGAAAATCAATTGCCTGCCGGTGCCTGGACCTTTTCTTCCGTGCCAAGATCTGTTCGACTGGTGGACTTTGCGTTGCGGCGTATGGGTCGTCTTCCTCTGCTCGTTACTCGGTAACGGGACCGTAGTGTTCGTGCTGATTTTTTCCAGGAGCAAAATGGACGTGCCCCGCTTCCTGGTTTGCAATTTGGCGGCCGCCGATTTTTTTATGGGGATTTACTTGGGTAAGTGCAGCAGTCTGAAGCAACCCAACGTTATCCCCCAAGCCTAACGGCAAGCCAGGAGTGTGTGATTTAAATCGATTTTTCTTTATATGATCCTCGATTTTTTATTAATATTTGTTATTCTTTATTTATTGTACTGGGTGACTCAATAATGTGGCAAAGAACTATATGTCCCATATTTTTCGTCCTTTTTGGAAAGTGTCTTAATAAATGTTGCAAGAAATAAAAATATAAACATTTTAAAAATATTTAAAATAAAGTATATATTTTTTTAATGAAACACACTATATAATTTTATTGAAAATATACTTAAAAAAAAACACTGAACTCCATTTTTTAAAATCTGTTCCCTCTATAATATTTAAAATAGTCTTTATTTCATACTTTCATATTTATGTACCTATCGATATAAATTTTCCATAAACATTCGTTTTTATTAATTGTTAAAAATAATAAAATTGTTAAAAATAATCCATTAAAGAAAAATATTTATTAAATTTTGATCAGTTTTGGTTATTTTTGCCGATCTTTGACATAGATCGAAATATGAATTATCATTTTACTATATTAAGGTTCATTTTTAATGTCGGAAAATGTGTTAACGTTACGTTAAAATTAAACAATAATCACGGTGTTGTCTAAAAATTTGTTGGTGTTGTATTAAACGATACTGCGCCACCCTGTATATCGTTGACGTTTAGGGTTTCTCGCGGTGGTCGACGCGTCAACATTGGGCGAGTTCCGGATGTACGCGATCCCTTGGCAAATGTCACCGGGTTGTCAACTAGCCGGTTTCCTGGGCGTGCTCAGTTCCGAATTGTCAGTCTACACCCTCGCGGGTTTCCTGGGCGTGCTCAGTTCCGAATTGTCAGTCTACACCCTCGCGGTGATCACCCTAGAACGCAACTACGCCATCACCCACGCCATGCACCTCAACAAACGCCTTTCATTAAAACATGCCGGTTACATCATGATCTGCGGCTGGAGCTTCGCTGTAGTCATGGCGGTGATGCCGTTATTCAACGTCTCCGACTATCGCAAATTCGCGGTCTGTCTCCCGTTCGAGACCAAAGACCTCGCCAGTTTATCTTATGTCGTTTTCCTCATGTTCATCAACGGCATCGCGTTCCTGATCCTAATGGGATGCTACCTGAAGATGTACTGTGCAATACGCGGCTCGCAGGCTTGGAACTCGAACGATTCGCGCATCGCTAAACGCATGGCGCTGCTCGTGTTCACCGACTTTCTGTGCTGGTCGCCCATCGCGTTTTTCTCGCTGACCGCGGCGTTCGGACTCCATTTGGTCAGCTTGGAGCAGGCCAAAGTGTTTACAGTGTTCATATTGCCGTTCAATTCGTGCTGCAACCCGTTCCTCTACGCCATTCTGACGAAACAGTTCAAAAAAGACTGCGTGATGATATGCAAAGCGATCGAAGAAAGTCGCGTGACCAGAGGGATCGGCAGGTGTCGCCACAGTTCGAACTTTAGCAACAGACAGACGCCGGCGAACACCAACAGCCTGGCTGACCGATCGTCCAGGGAGAACAAGGAGCATCACGTACCCGCCTGCACGTGCAACGCAAAGTTATTGGGGGACGCTAATCCGTCGAAGAATCAGCTGCAGCCGCGGCCGGATCGGAAGACGCGAGCAAGGGAATGGTTGCTGACGAAAGCTAGATGGTTATTATGCGTGAGGAGACCTCCAAGACATCGGCCGAGGGACGACACTTACACTTATCAGATCGCCGAGATCCAGCAGAAGCAACACATGAGAGCTTCATCGGTGTCTTCTAGTGAAAACTTCAGTTCGTCGAGGTATGAAGAATGTCTGATGATTTTTTTGTTAAAATATGACTCTGAGAGTTGCTATCTCAGTGGATAGCTTATTAATATTTATATTATAACGGATTAACTGAAACCAAAATATTGAAGCAGCTATATTTGTTGGACTGCGACTTTCTTGAAAGTTATATATCGCAACATTTATTCGGTGTATTTGATGGGAGAAATTGGCAAATGTCATGTTTTGTTTCAGAATTTGTAACGTATGATGCCATTTCATTTTTTTAGAAATTTATTTATTTTTTACAAACTGGTCAAAAATCAATGATGACGCTACGTTAGTTAATGTTCCAAATCACGAATCGTTAATCCGAAGTTGTAGTCAAATATTTAAATAATATTTTCTTTCTCATATTCACCATTCGCAATGTTTTCAAGTTTGACTTGTAAAAGATTAAAACCATTAACGGTTTTAAGCAAATTTATTACGATCACAACACCCAAGGTTCGAGGTGGAAATCGAACTTACAACCTCCGGCAAGGTGCGAAAGGTTATTTCCATAAATTCTTCTTCTTTTGCTGTAGTTTTGCGATGTTGTCAAAGCCAATCAATCCATGCCCAAGTCCAGAAAATGTGCAGTACGTAAAATACATGAGTATTCTTGATTGTTGATTAGGTACTTACGCTCTGTTTCGTAATGTGAGAGAGCTATAAATCATTATTGAACTATAAAACTTGCCGTTTTCCATAGGCGTAGTATTTTACCTATGATGAGTGTCAAAGGTTTCAAGAGTGGCAGGTAGACGGACAGGTAGTTGACCTCCAGTGCTTTAGTTTTTAAAATTAGAACTATAGAAAATATAGAAATTCATAAACAAGTTGCAATTTCAGCAAAATGTGCTCTTTGCACGAAATTTATTGTTGATGAAATCGTTTCAAAACCGCTTTTAAAATGAGACATTGCAGGAAAGAATAACGAAACAAAATCGAGCAAAGAGTCTGAGAAGCTGGTAACATGCTCTAAAGACCCTTATTGCTTCTCTGGACTCCAACGACTAATGTTCATCTGACTACTCGGATGACTAAAATTTACAAATGCAAATAGTATATTTTCTTAAATAATGATATTTATTACAGTTTATCTATTATACTTACTTATTTACTTATTACGTTACTTTTTAACCTTTCAGTTGTCCAGCCTGTTTAAGGATCAATGTCATTGCAAATTTACATTTTATTACTCTCTCGCATTAAGAAAGTAAATATAGAATTAATTTTGACGTTTTTGATGTATTTTTTTATTACGAACTCAAATGTGACAAAGTCAAATATTTCAAAAAAAAAATTAAAATGTTTGTTTATATATATATATATATATATATATATATATATATATATATATATATATATATATATATATATATATATATATATATATACAATTCTGAAATATTTTCATGGAACATTGTTACCTGTTTTATCATTATGTCGTTTTGAGAACTTCCCACAATTTTTTCACACTAGGTCGGATTCATGGCGCCATAACCACCACTGCGGCATCCCTCTCCGTCTACTCGATCCTAAACGCAGGGCCTCCTCGTGGATGGTGACGCGTAAAACGTCGCAGGATTCGAACTTGTCGAGTTCGAGGAACGATTCGTCTGGATCCGGCAACACGACGGCCAGCACCAGCACCTGGAGGATGTCCAGATCGAGCGGATCCAGCGAGCCGGTCAGGGGCAGAGTGAAGCCCCGCCTAACGCGTCAGTACGCGATCCAAGACGACACCGATTCTCCCGGGAGCCCCGGCAGGCTGACGGTAAATAATTACTACTACCCCTGTGTAAGTAGACGTTTTATTAGAACAGTAACCCGGGTTTCAATTAAGAAAAGTAGACAGTAGTAGTAGACTTTTTTTTTGAAAGAAACTTCCACAGGCTACTGTAATGCTTTTTACAAAACTTCTGGATTCCTCATGCGTCGGTTTTTGCTTAGTCGAAACAGCGAAACTGTTTCAGTTTCAGTCAAGCTCTGAAGAAGCCAACAGGATGATTGGCGAAACGTCACCAATTTCGACTAAGCAAAAACCGACGCAGGAGGAATCCAGAAGTTTTGTAAAAAGCAGTAGTAGTAGACATTTAAATAACAAAAAAAAGTCTTTGGTCAATTATCCAGAAAAATGGTAATCTCGCGAAATCTTATCTTATCTAAATTTCAAAAGTTAATTTATTGTTTTAATATGAAAAAAGATTACATGTTTTTCCCAAAACCAAAAACTACTGCTGACAAAATTTAAGTTCATATTTACAATATTTTGACTTCATAGTTTTGCTTAGTTAGTTAGTTTCGTTAGTTCTGAAACAATCACTATTCCCGAAGATAATTAGTACTCACATATGAAAATTACTTACAATAATATATTAATTCCATCAGCATTACTATCTAAAACCTCAAATAACTGGAAAGCTAGTTTTTGGACAAAAACTGTTTAAAAAAAATTAATTTTGCGTAAACAATTAAAAATATATCCATAAAAGAAGTTTGGGAGTAAAAGCATTCCTCTTTAACGACTCTTCTATATATAATTTTGTCGAACCGTTTCAAAAATAATTTTAAAAATTTTCTGAGACCCTTTCGCAGACCACCTTATTTAAGGCTGTTTTCCAAACACATCAAAAATATGCGTCAATCACTTTCTTGTTTTATCTTTTTCATATTTAAAATTTTATTAATTTTTACAATAGTAATGTGTAACTTTTTATTTCACATTTATTTCGTTTTTATGATAAAGACAGTTTTTTTTTTCTAAGCAACTTTCTTAATAAATTTTAAAATGAAAATATAAACAAAATTTTATTTTAGGTGCGGTTTCTCACGACCATCCCTTCGGCGGCGGAGAACAGCGTGCAAGCGGAAGACGAACAACAGACTCCGGCTTCCGTGAGCCCCGCCAAGGAGCGAGATGCGCCGCTCTACGCCATACTGCACAGCGCTGTCCAACCCGCTCTGCCGGCGCACGTGCGCAGACAGTCGATAGTGACGTTGCATCCGGCGTCTGAAATCGCGAAAAATGCCGTCAAGAATGGCGTGTCCAAGACCAGCATTCTCAAGACGAACAATAACACGATTTCCGACTCTAGCCCGTCGACCAGCACGAAGAACGCCGACAGTGACAAAACATCTAGTCGGGCTGCTAAAGGAGGTCGACCTAGTAACGATAACGTAAATACTTCTAGTCAACCGGCCACGAATCGGGGCGGCACGGAGACCGATCCCTGTAGATAATAGTTGGTACTTAAATAGGTTATATAATTGTGTTAACTAGAAAAAAACGATGCTACGCTGTCTTTGCGCGGGTAATTTCGTATCAAGTCAACCGACGACTGAATATCATTTTTAGGTTTTCCAAAAGCTTTCTCCAATTTTTAAACATAAAGAATTTGGAAAACACATGTTTTGCTCTTTCTTGTTTTTTTTTTCACGTATATATTTTTTCATACCTGTTTACCACAAATCCTTGTCATGAATCATGAATTGAAAAGTTGATCAAACTAACAGTTCTAAAGCTAAAACAATATGATATTTTACCCCCTTATTTAACAAACAAAAACATGCCTTTTCCTAACTTTGAAATATAAATAGAATGAAAAAGGGCTTTCCACACAAAATGGTTTTAATGAAACCTAATTTATAGGTTATGGTTATGTTTTTCCAACATATTGCGAAAACATCGCTTTTCAACTTGTTAAACTAGTCATAATAAACCACACGTCATCATCGTTGGACACCGGCAGTGTGCTCAAGCTAGGCCTAGTTTAAAAAATGGTCTGGTCTGTGATGTCTTCATGACAGTGTCCTCACCCTAGCCTTGGTAGATTTGATACGAATTAACGCTTGTGAAATGCGGGGCTAAAACTGAAAGGGTATATTAATTTTTCAAGTGAACTCTCCCTCATAAGTATTGATAAAAATTAAATGTTATATACTGCTTCAGTGTCAGTCCCGTTATTTTTATTAATGAAAAATTTTTGCCGTCCACAAGAGAACAGCCACAATGAGGGCTCCATTCCATATTTCTTCTATCCCGTATTCTTTGTAATTATATATTTGGCCCGGCATTTTCAAATAGAACGGGCAAAGCAAGACAGAAATTAGTCTTATATTAATACTAACGCAAATCTCGGTTGCGTGTTGATGTAAACGGTGTAGTAAATTATTTGTGAAACTGTCGCATTTACATAACTTAATAAACTATTTATTTGTACATAACTAGCGTTAAGGTTCGAATCAAAGTCTTTTTTTTGTCGATCGGTTTTTGATAAAAGCGAATAACATTTTTCTGGTCAGTAATAATGGTCAATAGATTTTTACTGGTTTACTGAGAAAAAGACTCATAAAATTTCTTAGATCTGCATATAAATGCGTGATATATAAAATATAGATTAAAACGAAATAAAGTAATAAATTTATAAAGTGATACTTAAGTATGTATATACATATATATTTAAGAAAAATGATATTTATATATAAGTATTCGTTCAATGTTGCATTTTCAGTAGAACTGGCACATTAATACCCGTCGTGTTATTTTAAACTTTGTTGTTGTTTTTTTTTGAGTATCTCCATGCAGAATCTACCTCTACTTAAGTATGTAAACGTTATTTTAAATAAAGACTCGATTAAAAACATCCACATTACCAAAGCAACTTTAGTTTTATTTTTTGCTGCGATATATGTACAAAAGTATATACCACAGAATTAATGTGAAGTATACATACTATACTAACAAATGTACTATACTGCCAAATGCACTTGACGTCAATGATAGCGGAATTCTAATCTGTCGCCGCTACTAGCAATACAGAGATCCTGCCTATGCCAATAAAACAGGAACTTATAAAGCAACTATGAAAGATATTTTCAACGTGCGCATGCGGGAGATTTACAACTTCTTCCGTGCTTCTATTCGTTTTTAACCAATGACGTTGCGGCATTCAAGAACCTCCACGACAGCTGACAGATCTGTCAATAGGTTCGGATGGGGAATGTTTACGCTATCACTGTCTAGAAAGAAAACGCACAAAGTGTAAGTTAGTGGGTGAAATGTGGAGGCATGCTTCTCTACGAAAATATTAGTGCTGCTTGCGGTGCATCAATTTAGGTAGGCCTACCATATTATCTAATAGCTAAGTGTCGCCACCCATGAGTTAATTCTGGAAGCTTTCTCAGCGTGTGTTTTAACTTCCGTCCATAGATGGCACTATAGTGGCGAAAAATTTTCTGAATTTCTCTGGGCAAGCGAATTAAAATACGCGGATTTATTAACAGCTCCATCTACCACAGTCCTTCGAATAAAATTGGGTGGGTAACGCGCGCGACACTGGAACATATACGCACGAGTCCGAAAATAAGCGTCGAGCTACGCGCCCGTATTGCAAAATACGACTCGGTTTTAACCGTTTAAAATTAGATTAAATACTTCGGATTGCGGCAGTGGCAATTTTTTTTGTCGATATACAGTGAGGGTTATTTCCCCAAGTGTTAATTTTGATTTTGGAGAAATGCCGTCTTTATCGTCGCCCACGCAGTGTAAGTAAATTTGATGGTGTGCGAAGGGTTTTTGGCGGAAAATGATGAGGTTATAAAGACGGACGCATCGGCCAGATTTATCGGGCTATGACTCGTTAAAATGCGATCATATGTGGACCAAACTGACCAGAGTTAACGTATGTAAGTCACGTTACCCGAAAATTAAAAATAAATTGTGTATCAAACGGCGTAAATGTTTTCGCGTATGCACCCGAATTCGAAGAACCGAGTTTAATGGACTTTCACTAACGTTTTCGCATTTTTACGTCAATTTTTCGGACTTGTGTTAGGTAGCCCGATCTTCGAAAAAACAATATAAAGATTTACCCTTGGGTAAGTTTGCCGGACACTTAAAAATAAAAATAAAAAATATATTTTGTTTAGAAGCTTTATACCTGTTTTTTTAGTTGACCGTTAACTATTTTAAACAAGCGATTTAATAACAAAACCAAATTTTATTCTTATACCAAATAATGTCATGCTATAAAAAATATTGAACCATATAATCTAAATGTGTCGTACGTTCTCTTCGAACAGAATCGCCCGTATACATTTACCTTTTTATGTATTTATGATAAATAAACGGTTAAATTTAGCATTAACCGGCGCGCTATTCCATGTAACGATCGTAGAATGAATTAATGTATACAATTTTTAAAGCAAAATAAATCCTCGCGTGTAAACGCAAGCTATCCATGCGCAGTTTACCAAATCCCAAGCAATAATTTGCTTCACTGATAGGAACTTTTATTTTTTCCCTTATATGTGTTTTTTATATAAATTTACTTTATCTTAGCGATGGACACCGTCTATCCGGAACCGATGTCGAGGTTGCACAGGCGGATGGTACCGAAAAAGAGAAGAGGCAGCTCCACAAGATACCGAACGCAGCCTGTAACATTCTCCGAAATACAGGTACCTTCTGTCTTGTGATTCCATTTCTTTCCTTCTGTTGACCACCACCTGTACTAGGATCATTCGTGTGGTCTTCAAGTAATTTTCTTTTTTATGTTTAAGAAGATTATTATATTAAAATCGTAGAAAATATCGAAGTTCAATATTAGTTAACAACCATAAGAAAAATCGCGGGCGGATCATCCTACCTACCATTTGTTAATAAAAACCAAAAATGAAAAGAGGAAGATGTTTTTTTAGTCGAGGATTTATCTCCTGCTCATAGATGGCGCATCAAACGATAAAGCATTGAACACAAAACCGTCTACCATTTACTGTTTCAATCGCGTGTATTACCATTGATTTAGCATTAACGACCCTTAGTGTTTGGACTTTTTCCCCTTGTCCTTTCGGTCCTAATTAAACCTAAATTAACCAAATTCTAAACCTTTGCGTGTTAACTTCCAGGAAGTGGATGAGGATAATGTGAGCGATGATACTGTTGCTACCTCGTCCACGGCTTCGACGCAAGAGCTGCATGTGTTAAATGAAAAATTTGAAGAATTCAAGAGAACCAGAGACTTGATGTTTAGCAGACTAGATGGCACCGACAACAACGTAGATAACAACATTCAAAACCAAGCACCCTTACAGACTTCGCGGTCTATAGGCAAGCTTCCCTCTAGGCCTTCATTTTAGCATTTTTAAAGAAGTTTTTTTTGTTATTTTTGATAGGTTTTTCTAATGTTTTTTTTTTAATAGATATAACCTCTAATCAACAGCGTCGCGTTGTTTATGTACATATAGCTTAGTGCAATGTATTAAGGAATTAGTTTTTTATAATAAAGGGCGATTTTAAATATTTATCGTCATTTATTTTCCTTACTCATTTTGGCATTTCCTAACCCCTAATACACCGAGGCAATGACTTTCTTTTCAATAGCCAAATATTCCATTAATTATCCCACTTGGGTCTATTACCTGTGTAAAATATGAATTAGCTTCAATTTTAAAGGCTTTTGGAAAATAAAAGAAGAAATTTGTTAGGTTAACGTAACATTAATCAGGTTATGTTTTTTACTTGAAAATTCAAAGATGAAAAATGTCGAGCATTCAAGTTTCATTTTCCGAATTGAATTTGAACCAGTGGATCATCAAGCAGTGCCAGGCAATCGGTGTAAACAAACCGACTCCAATTCAAACAAACTGCATCCCTCAGATTTTGAGAGGTAAGAACTGTATCGGTGCCGCCAAAACTGGCAGCGGCAAAACGTTAGCGTTCGCTTTACCCATACTACAGAAATTATGCGAAGATCCATACGGCATTTTTGCTTTGGTTTTAACACCTACTAGAGAATTGGCTTTCCAAATAGCTGATCAGTTTTCAATAATTGGAAGGCACATACACTTGAGGCATTGTGTCATCGTAGGCGGAATGGATATGGTCGAACAAGGTTTACAGCTTTCCAAGAAGCCTCACGTTGTAGTCGCAACGCCTGGTAGATTGGCCGATCACTTAAGTAACAGTGACTCAGTATCATTTTCACGGATTCGATTTCTTGTACTCGATGAGGCCGATCGACTTCTCGGCGGGCATTTTGATGAACAGATTCAAACCATTTTCAAAGCTTTGCCGAAAGGAAGACAAAACTTGTTTTTCTCCGCGACTATTACGGATGCTCTTAACATACTCAAGGACACAATCAAAGAAGAAGTATTTGTATTTGACGATAGCTCAAAAAATGAAATTGCGACTGTTTCCGGTTTGACTCAAGAGTACTTGTTGTGTCCGAAAGACGTGAAAGACGCTTATATGGTTGAATTTTTGCTTAACTATAAGGAGAAGAATGAAAATGGAAATATTCTTATATTTACTTCCACTTGTAAATATTGTGAGATATTATCTCTCACACTAAATGAACTTGGCATTGAGAATGTGGCTCTGCATTCAATGATCCCTCAAAAACAGAGGTTAGCCTCCTTGAATAAGTTTAAAAGCAACATAGTAAAAATTCTCATAGCTACTGATGTAGCCAGCCGAGGCCTGGACATACCAGCTGTGCAACTCGTTGTAAATCACAATATCCCTAGAATTCCTAAGGAATACATTCATAGAGTTGGGAGGACTGCTAGGGCGGGACGTAGTGGCAGGGCAATCACATTAGTCACACCTTATGATATTAAGTTGCTTCAAGCTATAGAAGAACTAATCAACACTCAACTTATTGAAGTCAAAGTTGATGGTAAGTTTTGTGACAAATTAATATTTGCCGTTTTCAATTGGTTTTTTAGACAAAGAAGTTGCAAAAATCTACGCTCAGATATCTGTGACAAAGACTGAGGCAAAGTTGAAATTGGAGGAAATCAATTTTTATGAAAAGAAAATGATAAATATGAGGAAGAAGTGGATCCAGGAAGGATTGAATCCAGATCAAGAGGAAAAGAAGTTTTTAAGGAAGAGGAAGAAAATGTTAAAAAATAAAAAGCGGGGGAAGGTGGAAAAGACAGCAAATCAAGCAATTTTACAGGAAGGCTTCGCGCATAAGAAATTTGACAACATAAACCAGACGTAAAAACATAATGCTTTTTTTATTTATCCCCTCCACACGTAAAACAGAGTTCTATGGCGCATAATACTTAACTATGTTGGCTGGAAATTTCTAGGCAATTTTATCAATAGCTCTTATCCACTTTACTTGGTGTCCTCATGTTTACCCTCGCCACGGCCAAGTACGCGGTGAAACCATATGTATAGCTATCAAATACCTACTATAGTAAAAATTTATGCGTCGCAGGCGGCATTGCTATTTTTGGAGAGAAGGTTTCACCCACTGATGTGCACTTTGCACCACTTTCTTTCTAAATAACATTTTCCACACATTTAACTAGTTTTCATAGAACATTTAACAAGATCTAGGCATATTTTGAGAACATACTACAGGAAAAGTGTCGCATCTAAACTTATTGACGATCTGTCAGCGGCCATGTTGGTTGTTAAATATCGCAAGGGCATTGGTAAAAACGAGATTTTAAAACCACTCTACTGTTTACCATTGTCCTCTCCTTTCTCCTACAACTTCTCTGTTTATTAAAAACTTTTATTTAGTTTTGTTTGTAGGATACTTTTTTTTTCCTGTGTGGGTAATTTGGTTCTCGTCAGGTGTGAACAGTGATTTGTTTGCCTTAAAATTGGCAACATCTAATATTTTGTAGTGTAGTTGCACAGCAATAAATGTATTTATTATTAAATCTCGCGCATGCCCCTGTCGAACGGACCTTAAAGTTCCTCTATTACTGGCACAGACAGCGCCTCTAGCTATATGGGTGAAACAAATAGCAGCAGGATACAGTACAACGTTGTTTCCATGTCGGGCAGAATAAAACACAAGATTTAATCAATCAAATCATTATTAATTATTCGTACAATTAACTGCTGACGGCAACTCAAGGACAACTTAATAAAATCGCAGAGAAACAAAGACGCCAAAACTAAAACGTCTGCGCGGCCATATCGTCGGCGCATATCCCTAGCATTGCCAGATCGTCATCGGGCGGGAGAGGAGGCGGTTCCAAGGGCATGGTATAAGAATGCGGAGGCGGCGCAGGCGGCTGCTCTTCTGCCTGGTACTCGTACTGTTGCTCACTATACATCATGCTATAATCCTGATAATACTGGCCCATCATGTTAGGGTCCATGTTCGGACCATTTTCAGAGTACAGGTTGTCCTCGTTTATACTATTGTTGGACATAGGCGACTGTTTATCCGGGTCCGTGTCCTCCATCCCTGCAACCGGAATAATAATAAATTGAAGGGATAACTAATTGAATAAATGAAAAATATATTGATAGGGATTAATAGATTGTCTCGAATTTCGTTCTCTGATAGAATTTAACGTCCCGCGCAGAGCTCATACAACAAATTATGGTTTATCTTCATCTTTGACATGCTTGTGTCTACCGAAAAGTGTTGATTATCACATTCCTTAAGAGCATCAAACTGATACCCAAATAATGGACACGATTAAAATCACAAATTAGAATATTTGACACACCTAAAGGGAAGTGTCCAAAATTGTAGAGGATGAGTACAAACCAGTCTTAAATAAGCAAATATTGGAAGAGATATGGCCCAAATACATAAGCAAACAGTTTGACCACAGAAATCCTTCTTTCCATACTCAAATGCAAACAGAACACAGTCCAAAGATCCAAAAAGCTCTAAAGTGGAGAAGCAGCCAGGCCGGAAAACACTTACCCGGAACTACAAAACCGGAAACTTGCCAAAGAGTTTCGTTTAATTAGTCAAACTTTGAAACGGTTCTTGAAGGTAATACACAATCAAATTTGAGAAAAATGTGAACAAGATATAAGTGAACAACAAATGGGATTTCATGAGGGACTAGGGGCTAGGAAAGCCTTGTTTGCGCTGTCAGTATTTCTGCAGAAGTGTAGAGATCAGAAAAAGGAAGTGTACATGTGTTTCGTAGATTACACAAAAACCTTTGACCGCAATAAACAAAAGAAATTACTGAGCATTCTTAAAAGTGGAGGGCCTAGACTCCCAAATTTTTAAAATTATTCAAAAGCATCAAGAACATCAAGTGGTATCAGTATGATTAGAAGGCTTCAAAACAACGATACCCATAAAACATAGAGTTAGACAAGAGTGTGTGCCGAGTCCTCTACTTTTTAATATGTACTCACAGTTGATATGTCAAAGTGCCCTGGAGGAAACAAACGACGGCATAAAGGTAAATGGAAGATTGTTGAATAACTTGAGATACGCCGATGACACAGTTATGATTGCTGACAGCTCTGAAGGCCTACAAAGACTGCTAGATAAGATATCTACCGTGAGCAACTCGATGAGCCTTAAGATAGCTACAAAAAAAAAACAAAGGTTATGATAATAAATGGTAATAGCAAGAGTCTCAAATTCTAAATCTCGAAGACCTAAATCCCAATGTAGGAGCAAATATCGAAATGGCAAGAACAAATTTCCTAAAGATGCAAAATCTTTTCTATGACAACAGTCTAAGCAAGCAATGCAGCGTACATTCCACACATCTTTACGATGTTGAGCACAATGAATAAGCTAGAAACGTTTGAGATGTGGACTTATCGCAGAATGTTAAGGATACCAAATTTGAAAGTTCTACGTCGAGTGAACAAGGAACGCTAGCTTCTCGATACAAATAAGAAATCAATAGAGTATCTCGGTCAGTTTTTGCGACATATTAAATACAATTTCCTTCAACTCATAATGGAAGGTAAGATCAAGGGAAAACGTTGTCCCAGAAGTCGACAACGCTCTTGGTTGAAGAACATCAGAGACTGCAGTGATTTGCTGTAATTGTTGCCGATCTTCATTAAATGGAGATGGCACTTTAAGAAGAAGAGAAAGGGAAGTCGGCGTCACAGCTGACCTGCATTGGAAAAAGAATGCTTATCGCCCACAAAGTGACGTACCAATTTTAGGGGGCGGCGGAGGGGGTGGAGCCATCGGCTGGTCCTCGTCGTGTTTCTTTTTCTTCTCGGCACCGATGGTGGGCGCCGCGGGCGGTTCAGGCTCTACTTTCGGCGACGGCGGCGGCGGCGGGATCGTCAGTGGGGGTATCGACGAGAGCACTGGGAAACATACCACGTCCGGTTGAGGGATAAAAGCTCGCGCCAAGTTGCCCGACTCAAATCGCGTCTTGCGTTGCGGTTCGTATTCCGCCTTTTTGATTTCCTTCCCCACGGGTTTTTCCTCGATCTTTTTGTTCTTGAAGAGGGGCATGCGACCGATGAAGGGCAACTTCTTGTAACTGGGCGGGCCCGGCGGTTTCTTCTTGTCGTCGCTCTTGCGAGGAGCGGGGCTGCCGCCTCGCGCCCTCTCCCTACTCCGACTGCTGCTGTTGCTCTCGCTATCGCGCCGGTGCCGTCTTGGGCTCTCCTCCTTCCGCTGTTGCTGGTGATGGTGATGATGGTGGCTACCGCGTTCGCGTTGTTCCATCTCGTCGTCGGGTCGTTTGACTGCGCCCTCTCGTGACGACGTCTTGAACTTGACCTGATCGCGCTCTTTGTCCATGATCCTTTGGTACTCTTCCTGCTCGCGCCTAAGGCGCTCTTTTTCCGCTCGTTCCGCGGCCTCTTTCCCCTCGCGTTGTTGTCGCTCGAGCGCCTCGCGTTCCCGACGTTCTACTTCTTTGCGTTGACGTTCCAGTTCCGCGTGCTTCGCCTTCTCCAGGTCCTGTTTCGCCTTCATCCGGTCCTTCAGGCTGTCGAGCATCGTTTTCTCTTTGTCGATCGGCTCCACGACTGTCATCCACTGGCTGATCAGCGCGTCTTCTGGGTCTTTCTCTTTCTTCCGATGCTCCTGCAGTAACTTTTCCAGTACGTTCCACTTGGTCATGTCCTCATTCATGATTGATTTCACTTGCGGCAGGTTGCGCATGGCTACCCGTATACTTCTAGATTTGTCGGCGGCCCCGCCCCCGTCGTCGTCGTCGTCCGAAGTGCTGTCTGATGAGCTTGAACTACTGCTCGATTCCGTCGACTGTCGCCGCTTCTTCTTCTTGCCCGAACGCCGTTTCTTCTTCTTCTCCTTCGACGCGCCGTCCTGTGACGCTCGCTTCCGTTTGCGTCGCTTCTTGCCGTCGTCCGAATCGCTCGAGTCTTGTTGACCCTTCCTGGTCAGCGCTTTTTCCCTGTCCTTCAACCACTCCATCTCCCAGTGCGGGTTTTGGTCTACAAAGTTCTCGAAGTTTTGGGAATGCGCCTGCGATTTCAGGTGGTGCGACGCGCAATGGAGGTCGCCGATCCACACATCGCACAGTTTGCAGTACCACGACGGGGCGGATATGAAAAACTGAAGACCTTTGATCGGGATTCGCTTTTTTGGGGCGTCGTCGTACGACGCCAGCAGGGGCTCCATCGGCAGTTTGTGCCACGGCGTGTTGTCGACCTCATTGTCCCGAGCCGAGTCCCGGTGCTCTTTGCTTTGCAAGTGCTGCAGGAAACTTTTTGCGGTTTCTGGAAACGCGTCGCAAGTCCGGCACCAGTGGAGCCCAGTATCGTAATATACATACGAATACCTGCGAAAAAATATTTTATACTCAACTTAAATAGTCCTCTCCACAAATTATCGCAAATGGTGGGACTCATTCACATAGAAGTAATTAAAACCCCCAATAGTTTAAATATACCTTCATTCTGAAATTTTACTCATTTACATATAGCATTTTACCTTTTATCACCTTCCACTTTGACATCTTCCTTCTTAATGTGGGGGGTTGGGGTTAGAGACTGCTGAATCCCTATCTCATCTTCCCCTTGCCCAAGTGGAGAATCCTTGCAATTAAGCTGTGCTTCCAAATTCTCAACACTCTGCCCATCTTTAATTATACTGGATAGCATTTCGATAACGTTTAAGATCGCCTTCATTTTTCCCTGGATCTGTTCCTAAAAATTCAATTAAATTAAATAATATGAAGGGAAGGGAAATTAAATAAGAAGGAAAAGAGCAATTCACTTTACCTGCAGTTTTTCATTCTCCTTAACAATGACCTTCAGTTCCTTATCAGAACTGCCATCATTAATCAAATCTTGCTTTTGATGCCGCAACTGCTCAAGCTCTTTCCTCAGCACCGACGCCTTCCTCACATAATCCTCCCGTTGTTTAGTCAGTTGAGCCTTTTGCTGCTGCATCTCCTGCACGACACCTAAAAACAGAACAAATGTCAGTGATATAAGGAAAATTGCATTAAGAAAAATGAACAACTTTTCTGTCATGAATTTTTGCGTACTCCATGTCTAATGTTTAGTTTAATTTTTGGCCCGCTGTTTATATTTGGACTGCCGACAATACCCTACGAAAAAATACAGTTAAAATTGATGGAATACAATTTATATAACATTGTTAATGGTATTTATACAAACCCCCTTCAATGTCACAGGTAATACAATAAATTCGTACCTCTAAACCTCATTTACAATATAACAATAATAATAGCCTAATTAAATATTTCAACACATAAATAATAATAAAAAAATAACAATTCTATAGTAATTGAAGGTAAAAATGTACAAACCTTCATTTTGAACTTCTTCGGGCGGAGGTAACGGGGGCGGTTGCGAGAAATCCTGGCTTAGAGTTGTCCAGTTATTTGCCACATAGGTATCTGTTGCGACAGCGTGTTCATTCTATATAGAGCATCACAACAGAAAAGCAATTAATTCCCTTAAAAAAGCATAATATTTGAAATCTAGTCATTCAGACAATTTGTGCTCCACAAAAACAGTACAATCATGTTTACCTGATACCCATATTGCTGATATCCATAAGCAGCGTATTCTGGGTAAGCCGTCGCATATGCACTCGCATACGCGGCATATTGGGCAGGCTAAAATAAAATCAAATAGTTAGTGTTTAAAAAAGAATATATACAAAAACACTTACGTTATACATTTTGGAACGGATTCACAAAATTTTCTCAAATTTTCAAAAGTAATTGTGAGGAGATGTCGCCATAACCCCTTAGCGGAATCTCTGTAACAGTGGTCAACCAGTTTTAACAATAGTACAAGACATATCAAATACAGTATAGTCGGCGTCGCTCGCCATGGCGACCATTGTTCTAGAAAAACTTTTTTACTTGAATAAATCTAAAAATTGCGAACATTGATTCATAAAACAATGGTACTTACAGTAACAGTAACCGTGCGTTTGTTTTGATTATAATTAAGCGGGTGGTAATCCTACAACTCAATCAAATATTAAATAAATGTAAATTTCTTGAACAAACTTTATAAACATGGCCACAAAACTAACTGACGCATGACATTTTACAAATTAGTCCTGCCAATATGGCGTCCACAGTTTTCCCATCACACGTGTTGAGACATTTTGAATGTTGTTTTTTTTATTGAACGTATAATGAATACTCCAAAAAAACAGTTACCCAATCGAAGAAATAGTGGGATATGGTTTGAATTTGTAGGATTCTTCTAGGATTTTTATAAGAAAATAGCGATCATAGAATAAAAGTAAAATTCATAGACCACCAGAATAGTGAGTGGTCTGTGGTAAAGTTCAGGTTGACTAATAAATTTTAATTGAATGATGATACTGCATCATACTACAGTTGCGCACGCGTCGAGTTATGTCCGAAATGATATATATTAAAAAATAGGTATAGATCATCAGATTTGTTTTATATTTATTTCCCTTATGCTGGCATATTAAAACAAGCAAGTAAAGGGTATAAATAACAACCCAAAAACCTAATGCTGGTGGTGCAATAGCTTACTTCGTTTCGCTCATATAAAAAAAACTCGTAGTAAGGCTTGAACAAATTTAGAAAATATAAATTACTAATTTATTTATTTATTTTGCTCTTTAACAATTTGGCCAACTTTGAGGAGCAAAGATCCAAAGGGGTCAATTTATCTTTGTTGCGCAGCTCCAAGTCGGCACCATTTTCGACTAACAATATCGCCTCTTCTTGTCTGTCTTCTTCACAAGCCAAATGCAAAGGAGTGTTGCCATAGGCATCTCTGCCATTGATGTCTAAGACGTTGTGATGTTCTAACAAAAATTTAACAATTTCCAAATTGCCTTTGGAAGCCGCTCGATGTAATGGGCTGCTTCCTCGCTGGTCAGTAATATTGATATCAGCCCCATAATCGAGCAATTTCATGCAAATCTGTGAGACAATTTGATAGAAAAATTTCATCAGATGACTACTTCAACTTCACTCACTTGCAACCAGCCTTTGGACGCGGCATATTGTAAAGCAGAATGACCGTAAATCGACTGCTGATTAACCTTGGCCCCTTTATCTAATAACAAACCAACAATCGGTGCATGACCTGCAGAGCTGGCCAGTATGAGAGGCGTAGACTCTGTATCATCAAGCGGATCAATAGGACTTTCAAGTTCCACTAAATGAGAGACCAGTTTCAAGTTTCCGCTTAGTGCTGCCCAATGTATTAGCAATCTTTCGTTCTATAAATACAATAGCTTGTTGCAAAACAATGTTATTAGGGGAAGAGATTCTTACCGAATCTTTCGATGTGAGTAAAGATGGGTCAGATTCTAACTGTTTCGATACGGAGTCGAAATCTCCTTTATGGGCGAGTTCGTGTACAGTTTTCTGCCTTTCCGTCATAGCCTTGGACGATTAAGTTCTATCAATGAATGATTTGACAAATTTGTTGATTTCGCACCCAATTTCGAACTTTTCTGAGGTTACGTTGTGATTTGTCTTCTATTAATAATCAGGTTAAAGTAATCAATTTATATCGCCATGACAACTACCAAATATTGGCTGTTTCAAGATTTTATTTGCACGTATCAAGATTTGAGTAAAATCCTCGAGATATCGCAAAATAATGGAAGAACACATGACAAAGACGGTACTGGACCCGGGACACCCGCTCCTGGAAAAATTCCAGGCGGCGCTCAAAGAACATTATCTCGTTCAAATAGCCAAATTACAAGACGAAATTAGCGAGTTAGAGCTCGAGACGAAGCAAAAAATTACTGAAAAGGACTTCATAGGGATTCAGGCTTACGAAATCCAACAGACGGTGTGTCGTCAACAACGTACCATGGAAGAAACATCAAAGGAACTCCAAACGGTCATAGCTGCGCGAGAGGAAATCGAACACCAACTCAAAGAAGAAAAAGACTACTATAATGAAGTCCGCGAACGGCTAATCGAGGCAGAAAAGTTAAATCTAGAGCTGAGGAACGAAATTAATGCTGTCAACTTGCTAATCAACCAGATTTCGCAGTGGGAGATGCAGGTCGAGTCGGATTTGGTAGTGAATCAACGGGTAGCAGAAAAAACACGTAAAGACCACCTGAAACTCGCCGAACAAAAACGGAAACAAGACGCGCAGATTTACAACATAATGAGAGCCATCTGGAAACTAGAATCAGAAGTGGAAACGATGAACATGCAAATTAACCTAAAGGAAACGGAGAAAAAGGAGATCAACCAAACCGCGGCTGTTGGTGCCGCAAATTTGGAAGCTCTTCAAACCGAATATAGGTGTCTCATGCACGCTTGGAATTCCGTAGTTGTAGCGATAGGGAACAGGGATAAAATACTGGATTGCTTGAGGCTTGAGGTAAGACCTTATAAAATAATAATAATAATGATATTTGATCACTTTATATTGAACATCTGATTGACTGCCACAAAATGACATCCCTTAAGTACTGAAATATTATGAGTATTACATAGTTACTTATATACTAGGAGTTGATCTCTTTAGCAACATTACAATACACAATTTCGTAAAAAAGTTGGCTAATGTTGGTTAATTATTAAATTTTGATGTTGATACTCCTATAATTGTTTTAGTAAAGATTGTAACAAATAACAAATAAACGACACCTGAAATAATTTAAATAAAATTAAATTTCAACTATAACGTACCTTTCAGTCAAACTTTTGCGTTTGTAATTGACTTATCTTGTTGTTACCTACTCCAACAAAATAAGAAAAAAACAAGCACTACCCTTCCAACGAGATGCATTAGCAAATGAAGAAAGCAAAAAACGAATAATAGTCCAAACTAAGAAAAGATTATTGAGTTTCTTGGTCTTTGACCTAAACACACAGCGAAAATTAACTGAATCGTTCGTTCTAGGGCGGCAAAGTGCGCGAAAAAATCCAAACCACTGCCTGCGAAATCGAACAGGTTAAGAAGCTGACGAAGAAAGAGATGAACGACAACGAACGCTTGACGATGAACAAGGCGCGAGTCGAATCGGACCTAAAAAATTGCAACGCGCAAACGCAAACCCGCCTGGACGAGTACCGCACGGAAGAGGGCGCTGCGTGCGCACTGCAGGCCGTCCTCGACCAAACGGAATTCGACACATCGCAAGCTAGCAGCGAGAATCGCGTCCAACAAACGACGTTGTCGAATATGCTCAAGGACTATGAAAAAATAGCCAACAAGAAAATGGACACGGAACAAAAACTGTCCGATTACATCGAGGACAAGGCTATGAGCGACAAAATGGTCGGCAACTTGCACAGACAGTTGAAAACCTGTCGAGAGCGCAGAAAAGACCTCGAGATCATTCTTAACGAGGCCGAGAACAAATTGAGCCTGTTGCGAGCCGAAATCGAGGCTCAGAAGTTCGCGAACGAGGAGAGTAGCAAAGTGCTAGGGGATGCCGAACGGGACAGGTCCGTGTTGGAGCAAGAAGCGGACTGCTTGGACTCAGAAAAGGGCAAGTACGAGCTGTTGTTTCGCAAAAAGGAACGCCACTTGGGCGTATTGGGTAACAAGCTCGAGCACTTGCTCGAGAAGAGCGACGGGCGAGAATTAGCTTCGCCTCAGGAGCTCCGCATTGCCGCGTTGGAGAAACAGATCGACGAAACTTTGGACCGGGTGAAGGGTCTGCAGCGCTTCTGGCTCAGGGAGCAGAAACACCTGCTCAACGTGTCGGACGAGCGTCAAGCGCAACTGAACAAGCTCAACTTGTTGAAGAAGCAGCGACTGATTCTCGAACAGAAGAACTTGCAGGCGCGGAACGAGTTGGATGAGTTGAAGACGCGCGAGGAAAAAATCGGGAGGAACGTGAGGCAGCTGCAAAACAAGGCCGGCATCCTCTGCGACGCATTGTTTAAGAAACGAGGTCGGAAAACTAGCCTGGACGATGATAATTTCTACCTGCGGACGCAGTACGAGGGCAATTTGAAAGACTGTGAACTGGAGTGTTTGAAAGCGGAAGCACAGGTAGCAGAAATGGAGGACGACAGGGTGAGACTGACCGAGGAGTTGGTGGAAGTGAACCGCAACGATCTCGATTGGGAGAAGAAGGTCAAGCTGGCGAAAGAGACGAAGGAGAACATTAAAACCGAACAGAGCAAGGGAGGAGAATTAGAGAACATGAAACAGGAGATCCAGAGGATGAACGTTATCTACGGTCAATTGAGGAAGGCTCAGGAAAAACTCGTCAAAGATTTGGATCATTGCGTTTCCAGGAGGGACGCGATATTCACGGTCGCAGAGGCGCGTCAGAAACGCTCCAAAATTGCGGAGGATCGGACAAGGATTAACCTGACTCGAAAAATGGACGATATCAAGAACCAAATAAAACGGTACGAGAACGATATCAAAAATATAGCGGAAAAGGTGACGAAGTTGGAAGCCGAGAGAGGGCAGGTAGAACGTGAATTGGACGCTTTAATGGTCGAGATTAAGGTGTCGGAAGATTACGCGAGATCATTATCGGAAGAAATTGAGGCGCGGAAAACCAACAGGCAATTGAAGTTTGAGGTCTTGCTCCTGGTACAGAAGAAGCTTCAGGTGTATGGGGATTTGGCGGCAAAGAAGACACCTTACGTCAAATACAAGAGGGACCAGCAGCTGTTCGAATACGGTAAAGAGAAGGGACTGAATAGTAAGCTGTGTCGGATCGTCGAAAATTTAACTACTGATTTTCCAACTCGCGTTCATGAGCTCGCGAGGTTATACAATACCCTCAAAGTTTACGTTCTTATTACAACGTACCGTGGCACCCTCGAGACATAGATCGACCATATACTCATTATAGGCACATTGCATTTTGTAATCACTCAATATATCGAATTAAAGGCACTTGAAGGCTTAAATTTTATCACTACAAACTATTCTCCATTATAACCACAACCTCAACACTAACGACACTAATATAATTTGTACTTCGCTTTGTATTTATCTGATATAAAAAAATCGGAAAAATCTTTAAAATTACTTCACAATGACATACAATAAAAAATAGGTTCTTCTTCTTCTTCCTGACCACAGCCACATAAGGTCATTCGACCAGCATACAAATATTGGTAATATTCATATTTCCTAAAGGATGCCTTCGTAAGAAAAGGATCTAGACTATTCCACCATCCTCCAAGGTTGTTAACATTTTCTTAATTTGTTCAGAGCTTACAAAAAAGTACTTTGACCGTTAGCAAAGAAACGGCTTCCCCGGCTTCCGCCACGGACGACCATCCGGGCCCATCCGACCTTCAACCGGTGCGGAAGACAAAAACAGCGGGACCTACACCTATTACACAAACTAACCAAAACTTGCACTAAACACTTAGCACACTAAAGCCACACAAGGCAAACCGATATCAAGTTTTTTCGGATGATTAGAAAGGATTTTGCCAAAAGCGAACGGAGGTTAAACCACCATGTACAATGCTTACTAGGTTGTTCCTTGACTTCTTCCTCTTTTCGTTTGCGTTTTAAAGGACACAAATTTTGCATAAAAAATTCTAATTTGTGGATGTAAATCGACGCAAAGTGTTGGTTTTTATAAAGTTTAACTTCAATGAATCATGTAAAAGTGAATAGGCAATGGCCCCAAGACCACTAGTCAGTCGAGACCCAGTTTCCTCGACGAGTATGTAGTAAAACCCAGATTGTTAGATGCGACTAATAAAATTCACATGTTGCACCGCGCATGCCCATTGGTGAGTTATGGGAAAATCAGAAGTTGAATGATTTTCCGAGCACGCACTTTGCACCATTCCTTTCTACTGTCATAAAAAAGCAGCATCCATATTTATTAACGCCCTGTGACCACTCACAGATGATTATAGATAAAAACGTGAGTGAGTGAGCAAAAAAATGTTAAGGTTACTTCATAATATGACTAAAACCTATGTTAATATTAAACGTACAATTTAAAAAAAAAACAAAATTTTACCAAAATAACAAAGCATTTTATGCTCCAAAAAATGTCATCGTGTCTACCACCCAAAAATTACCAGTTAAAAATACATGCGTTTTTAACAGCAGCTTTTTAACTGATGAAAATACATGAAGAAATTGTGTCTGTCTAGCGAGATTTAGCAATCTGATATTGACATCCCAATGCACGTTAAATGTTTTTAGGATCAGTTATATAAATATCTCTGTGGGTTTCCTGTTTTCATTGTCCTGTCGAAGTATGGTTTAAAAATTATTGTTAGTGATGACTTAAAAATTTTAATCTTCGCTCAGTGTCTGCAATTAATGAATGACCCTAACATTGTCGCCCATAGAGATGTTAGAAAAATAATTTATGGACATAACCAATAATAAAAATGTCGCACCAAAAAACAAAAAAAACTGCCCAGTGGTTCGAATGCCAAAAATGTCAAGCCACAATCCCCAACAAGGAAACGGAGGAGCACGAAACATTTTGTCCTCCAAAGAATGAGAATATTCGACATTCATTCATTTATAAAGGAACACTTTGCGGAATATTGGACGCTAAATCCAACGAAGACATTAAAAATTTAAGCAGTAGGGACAAAGACAATTTAGTTTTTGTCAGTTCCAGTGCTATGCAGCTATGTTCCTTTGCGATAGGTGAAAATGTTTTGATAGGAGGATCCACGCCTATTGTTAAAAAAATATGGCCTACAAACGAGAAGAGTTTGACCACTGTCCTTCTGACTAAAAATTGTAAAACATTTCTTTTTTATGAGTTTTAAATCTATAATTTTTATTTTGTAATTTTTCCAGGCCTAGAAATGACAGGTTTGAGTGCTTTACAGTATGTTACAGTAGCCAAATTTAACAGCAGTCCCATTAAAGCTGCTTGGGCTGATTTGGTTTTGTTAAATGGGCCCAAAGGCTTTGAAATTACCCAAGAACTCAATAATCGGTTGACAAAATCACATTTGGGGAGTATTTTAACAGCTGGCAATATAATTTCAGTTATGTTTTATGGTAAACTGTTAAAATTTGTCATTAAGTTTATAAGTGCAGTGCAAGATATTGACATTAGCTTTGAAAAGCTTTCATTAATTGAAGGTTATCAATTTTATATTTTTGATGATCATACGAGATGGAAGATATACAGGTGAGAGTGCCCAATTTTACTTTGTAATTGATAAAGTTTCTCTGCTATTTTAGCGGGGAGCAATCCTTTGTTGAGCAAAATTTTATGAAACCCATTGTGGCAGGCTTAGATAAAGAAGTTTGTGAAATCACAGAGTTGGTGAATGTATGTTTAGGCAGTGCTAAATCTATACCTGCCATTTGTAGTCGATCTGTCCTACTTTATGGCAATTCCGGTACCGGGAAAACTAAGCTGGCGGAAACAGTTGCCTATCAATCAAAGGGCAGTGTAGTTAAACTGAGCCCTTCAGATTTGTACTGTAATTTTTCTGCCAACCCTGAGGAGGCTATAGCTGAATTTTTTCAAACTGCCATAGATAGTGCTCCTAGCATTTTAATCCTGGACGAGATAGACATTCTCTGTCCTCAAAGAACTGGCAGACTTACCGACTCAGAAAAAAGAATATCTTCCATTATAATCAACAATTTCGATAAGCTGAATACATTCAGAGACTCCCGTGTATTTATTATAGCAACAACCAATAAACTGGATAATGTGGAGCCCTGTTTAAGGCGCTATGGAAGGTTGGACAAAGAAATTGAGATCCCCAGTCCAGATCCGCGAAGTCGTAGACTAATTTTAAGTAAATTTCTTGAAAACTTGGACAACAGTCTCACTGAAGATGATTTGCTGGAGATAGCTGCCTGTACTCACGGGTTTGTTGGAGCTGACCTGCTGTCGCTCTGCTCGCAGGCAAATTTAAATGCCACTAGGAGGAATAACGTCACAATACAATTTGAAGATCTAAAACTAGCTCTGAAAAAAATTAGACCCAGCGCCATGAGGGAAGTGCAAATCGAAGTAGGCTCATCACTTTTTATCCAGCAATTTATTTATTGTACTGAAGTGGTTTTTACTTGATGAAAATCTATTTAAAATATATTTAAATGACAGCTGTTTCGGCAACACGTGCCTTTATCAAATGCGAATATCAAACGGTACCGATATTTATAAATACAAAACAGGTAGTAATTACTTAATGTGATCCATTGAGTTGGTCATTAAGTAATACATTCGAACCTCTCATCTTATTAATCTCCATAGCTTCTAGTAAATTTAATTTTCTATTTTTTGGAACAGATGTAAAATATCGAAATTGTCATCAAAAATTACGCTATACATTTAAATTTAGAAAAACACAATTTTGACAATTTCGATATTTTACACATTGTTACAAAAAATAGAAAATTCAATTTACTAGAAGCTATAGAGATTAATAAGATGAGAAGTTCGAATGTATTACTTAATGAACGGATCCTCCTTGTTAAATCTCAATGTAATACCTCACATTAAGTAATTACTACCTGTTTTGTATTTATAAACATCGGTACCGTTTGATATTCGCATTTGATAAAGGCACGGTGTTGTCGAAACAGCTGTCATTTAAATATATTTACGTGAAAATCTGAACAACGTTTGTTTTTATTTAACTAATTTGGTTTGGTTTGGTTGAGGTTATAGTATATTATAGTAGCTAAAAAAGCGCTTGGTACTCAATGTTCACGGCGTTGCCAAACTTGAATATTTCTCTTATCGCGGAATTTCATAAAAGTATAAAATTGACGTATAGCACGACCCATAAACGAGTGAAAAAATAAGTTGAATATTCAAAAATATGTGCAATATGATTTTATTATACTTCTTATTATATAAATATTTTTTTTTAAGTTGGGTAACATATCAGGGGTTATATTTTATTCAAACGAAATATATAAAAAAAGTATGAAAAAACAAACATTAAGAAAATAGAAAGGGCAAAGGAAAGAAAATCTTTGACTGTACCATAATCTATTATCTCAGTTATTATAAAACCTATAAAATTATATAGGTAAACTTTATCATTACTAATTACCAATTCACACCTCTAACCTAGTCTTAAGGTAAAGGTCTTATTTGATAGATAGCGAATGTTAAATGGTCCGATATTGGAGGCCAGGATAACCTCAAGTTGATTCTAAAGCAGGCTGTAGAGTGGCCTTTAAAATACCCAGACAGCTTCAAACGTCTCGGTGTTACGCCGCCGCGGGGCGTGCTTATGTTTGGACCACCCGGATGCTCAAAAACCATGATAGCTAAAGCGCTGGCCACCGAAAGCGGTCTAAATTTTTTGTCTATTAAGGGTAATTTTATTTTAAAAGGTAGCGAAAATTGCAAACTTGTTCATTTCAGGTCCGGAATTGTTTAGCAAGTGGGTAGGCGAATCGGAGAAAGCCATCAGGGAGGTGTTTCGGAAAGCCAAACAAGTGGCGCCATCTATTGTGTTTTTTGACGAAATTGATGCGCTCGGAAGCGAGAGGACTTCCGGTATTTCAAGATTAGGAATTTACATCGGAATCTGGTTTGATTTATAGCATTTTCAGGGTCATCCGCGAGCGTACAGGAGAGAGTTTTGGCCCAACTGCTAACTGAATTAGACGGAGTAACTCCGTTGGGAGACGTTACGATATTGGCAGCGACCAATCGACCGGATAAAATCGATAAAGCCCTGTTGAGACCAGGAAGGTTGGACAGGATCGTGTATGTCCCGTTGCCTGATAGAAATACCCGGATGGAAATATTTAGGATAAAGTTGAGCAACATGCCGGTAAATAGAAACAGAGAACGTTTTCTGTCATTTTTTTAAATACACTTTAATTCGGCGATTCAGCCAGCTTCTCGGTAAGTGGTGTGCGGTTAACTATATCCAAGAAGGAGGATGCCTCCATAAAGAGAGTGTGGACTATACGGATAAAAAAAATCAGAAAATGTAAAAAAATCATTTAAAGCTTTAATCATCAAAAAAGCGACAGACAATCTTGACAATAAAATTTAAATGAGTATCCTGAAACAATATAGAGTTACTATAACCAGACGATGTGAGGTTGGCATTAATAAATGACTCATACAATAAATAGTTCTCCACATTTGCAGCCCTCAGTGGATTTAACTTTAATTCTACTCAGGCAAGCAGGAGAGCAGCAGTGGTTGCTTGTCAGTCTACACATTACTTGTGCTATTGAGATCCAACTTATGAAACCAGGATATAGATGGTAGAAAAATGTGAGCTGTATGTAATTAATTCATTACCATAAGCTTCTCTCAGTCTGTGTTACTGAAATTACATTTTGCTAGTGGAGTTTCTCCTTGAGACTGAGTTGCGTCGATTGTTTCCGATGATTCAATGGAAAACCATTATTTATCCATTATTAAGTACACATAAATAGTGGTCCTTAATTAAGTGGCGGTGTGAGGTCGATTGCAATCAAGTTGGCTTTGGATTTATTTCGCAATTAGGAATTTTACATATTCTGGTCGGGTTGTTAAGATGATCAGGAGGGAATGCTTTTTCACAAACATCGTTATTTTTAACATTCTCCAATCAGCAACAGTTGAAACAAATTATTATAGGATTTACATATTTTTAGACTACTCGTTAGATGCGAAAAATATTTACGGTTTAGGTTATGATTTTTACTTTTAAAGTTATTATTCAATCGTTTGTGGGAAACACTATTTTTCTCCTTCAGAAGATTCTTTTTACATTTAATATCTGGACCAACCTATAACGGGATCCGCCTCCTAATAAGCTGACACCTCCGAGTAAAAATCCTCTTCTACTAGGTGCTATTAAGTAGTAATGCTCTTCGATAGCAAGAGCCGTTTTCTTCGCCAGGGGCGAACGCGCCTAGGCTGACAAATAACTACTCCTTGGAAGCTTGGATTAAATTTAATGAAGTAATAAAGAAATCAAAATCATTTAATACCTACTATTACTATTTAATCTACTATCGAATTATTAGCTACTCTCTCTGGAGGTTCCCCGAAGCACATGCCATCATATACAAAGCATTCAATCATCGCAAACTGCGACATCAAACCAAAGAAGATATTTGCAGAACGCCAATTATAAAAGTTACCCAGACCTAAAATTTCGTTGAAGTCATTCACACCACTTCACCTGGTTTTCCGAAAAAAAAGTTCCTTACCTTAAATCATCATCAGTACCAACACTTCCAACAAATAACCAAAAATTCTCAATATATTGAAGAGCTTATTCAGTAAGATCAAATATTTTTTGTTTTTAATATTCGCATTTATAGACCATCGACGTGATATTAGAAGAATTGGTTGACGAAACTGAGGGATATTCTGGGGCCGAGATCAACGCTGTTTGTCACGAAGCCGCAATGGTGGCATTAGAAGAAAGTCTTCAGATTGAGAAGGTGAACAGAAAGCACTTTGAACGCGCTCTTAAATTGGTTCGCCCTAGGACGTCGAAAAGTCTAATTGATTTGTATCAAAGTTATATCGAATTAAAGTTATAATTCTATCCTCCAATAATAAGTACTAAATAAAATTGTCTACCTTTTAATAACGTTTTGAATAGAAGCGCCCAAAAAGACGTCTGCATTCGGCGGTAATCTGTATTACGAAGCCAAAGCAAAGTATAACCTCACATCATTACGAAATGGTTCGCACACTGCTTTTCGCATTTCTCGCAAAATTATCTTTATTACAATGCTAATCAAATATCTTACATTCTATGGTGTAACGATATTGGATTTAATTATGATTATTTTATACTAAATAAATTGTACTAAAATACTAATTAAAAGTGGTTTACCCCAAGTTTTCTATGGAAATACTGACTAAAAATCGTTCAACAAAAAGTAGTCCATAATAGACTTCAACTGAAAAAGAAGAAAAAGCGATAACCTACCTGCACATCTTGACTTGGCTAAACGATTTCTTAATTGAGCATAACCTTAAAAACTCAAAATTTAATTGATTTAAGATTTTTTGGCGTTTTAGTTTTAACCGAGAAATTGAAGTGAATAAAAGTAAAACGCTAAATCCATGCTTGCAGTAAGTAAAAATATTAGCTGGATATGTTTATCTTATTGTGTACGATTCCTTTGCATAAAACGCTACTAGATGGATAGAATTATATTGAAATAGATTGAAGACCAAACTATTATGAGATATATATCCATAATTCAAAGCATAGAATGGAAAATGGTTAATAGAGGGTTTTATTTTTTACTTTTGCTTGGATGTTTTTGTTGTTTACTCTCACAATGTAAGTCATCTTTAAATGTAAAATTATTGATCTCCCGCATTTTTCCAAACTAACCGTTTCCGTATGGTTGGAAATGTATAATTGTCGTTCATTATATTATAAATTACTTTCGATTATTTTGTGGAAGTTTTTTTTTATTTTGTAACATCTTTTTTGGGACCGATATCATATTGGTGTTTTATTTTCGTGAGTCGTCGAATCCTGGGTAGATAACCACCCGTTGCGCCTTATCTAAACGTAATAAACGCGTGTATCTCACCATCTGCGAGGGGGATTGAACACGCAGACGAGATAACAAATAATTAATTTTGTTTGATTTCCTCCTCCTTCTAATCGGTATGGAGTATAGATTTTTATTGTAGTCGGTAGCAGTGCGCCAGTGCGTCCGACTGATTCATTTACTGATCCCTTTACGGAAAAAAAAGAAAATTAAGTGCGCCAGTGCGTCCGACTGATTCATTTACTGATCCCTTTACGGAAAAAAAAGAAAATTAAGGATTCAATCGAATTACTTTTCAGGTTGATACTTTTTCACTGCAATGCTAAGGGGACTGCTTGTTTTGCTTTGTACGTATCAATTTTAATTTTTGTTTTTATTGTCTATAATTTTGATGGTTGGTTTTATTTAAGTAATTTTTGCTGTCTCTCTGATGACATCACAGGCTGACACTGGCGGTTTCTTTCCGGATATAGAAGGAAATTTAACGAAGATAACGTGGGCGCATGCAGTCAATAACCAATCGTATCTGGACGAAGTTTTGAACAATGGTAACCATTTCTTTTTTCGGCATTAAAACCGATTTTCATGTTACACACAATACAAGTTTGTACTACCATAGATCAGGAGACTGTGTGCCAGGTCCAGAGTTACACACAATTAGGTCCTTCTATTCTTGGTGTCACCTATTAGTGGAGGGTAGAATCATCAAATAGGTATATCGCGGCTTCGAGCGCGGTTTTTAATTAAGTCATTCTGGACACGTAATCCAAATATTGAACGATTTGTATAAACTGTAATTAACAATTATTTATTGCTGAGCTTTCTAATCCTAATCCATCATTTTGGTTAAATTACGCACTTGATATCGTAGACGGAATAATGATGATCGAAGCAGACATCAGTCTGGGAAAGGTAAACGGTGATGACAAAGTAGTCCCTATAATGGCCCATCCGCCTGACAATACATCAGATATATCACTTGAGAGTTTTCTGCAACAGATCGACGCATTCAATCAGGACGAAACTAACCGGAAAGGCGTCAAACTCGACTTTAAAACGATCGAGGTGTTTAACAGTTCTCTGGACATAGTTGGCAAGTATGAAAAGGTGGTTGCAAAATTCAGTTGTTTTCGCATCGTGACCCAAAACTGACCAATTGTAGGCAAGCTATCCGATCTGGATCAATGCCGATATCTTACCGGGACCAATCGACGCCTCTACTCTGCCGGTAGATGCCGACCAATTTCTAGAAAATATCGCACGTTTTCCCAACGCCACTTTATCTATAGGCTGGACCACTATGTACGGAGCGACGATGACCGGATCGTACGACACGGAGCAGATCGATGCGATGCTTGACGTCATCGAAAGGCACAAGATATCCCAGGCAATCACGTTCCCGGTCAGGGCCGGGCTAGCAGCCGAGAGTCGGGATTTAATGAAAAAATTGCTTGGCGCGGTAGACGGTTCTACGTTAACCATCTGGTCCAGTCATGGCGACAACGTTGACGTGGAAGATCTTAGGAAACTAGTTGCGATGGCCGGCATCAATAAAACCTACATCGACGTGCCGGCGGAGCTTTTGAGTCAGTTGCATTTGGACGATTTGCCAAAAGGTGGCGCTATTAAGGTCACCGCAGGAGCATTACTCTTGGCGGTTGTTTGTGTCACTGCGACTTTGTTCTAACGTGTATTGTAAAGGAGTGTTTATAAAATTTATAAAGTTGTGTGGAATGGTTGTCTTTTACCTTGCATGACAGCGGTTAGGATAGCGGTACTACACTAAATAACTCATAAAATCAACAGTAACATTGGATTGCATCTGTCAAATGCACAGATTAATTTTAAGCTTATTTTTGAATACCGCCATCTAACGTGGGCATGTTTAAACCTTTGTTGCATAATTTTTGTTAATTTTACGGCGCAACGCCAGAGGGAAGGCAACCAGGGATTTTCCTGATACAAGGTTAGGAGGTTAGGTTTTCTTTTGGTGGCTTTATTGCTTTTGCCATTCTTCATGCGGGTTTTGGAAGGAATCCGCAATTAAAGGTTGTTAAAATAAAGCTCTCCAGAAGTAATTTTTGTATGTTTGGCAGTTATCGATATACCTATACCAGGAGGAATCCGCAATCAATAGCTATTAGATGAAATGTGAGCTGCTAATACTATAAAACTGGTGCGCTTTAAACTGCTGTGATCTTCACTCGCAAATTGTGTAAATTCGGGGCATATTGCAAAACTGCCGAAAAAATGCCACATTGAAATGGAAAACTCTCGAGAATTGATGTACTGTCAGTTGCTATGTTATCAGCATAGGCATGCGAGTTAATAATTTTTAAGAAAAATCTTCCATTCCGTACATACATACTAATGAATCTTATCAAATAAATAACATGATATAACAATAATCATGTGCTGAAAGGGGCATTTTAACATTAATAACGTTTTACACGTGGCACACTTCTTGATTATATGACGGTTTTCGAACGTAAAAAAAACAACACTTTAGACTGAAACAAAGAAAAGAAAAGAAAAGAAAAACGAATCAAATCGGTATGCAGATGTACCCACATGTGTATTGAAGTTCGGTACAAAAGGCTCGAACAACGAACAATTTCGAAAATGATTATGAGCGTGCACTGGAAGTGTCTACATGACGTCCAATTGAAAGCAAAAACTTTGTATTTCGAGTAATCCGACCAGCCCGATAGAACAGATGTGTTGACGTGGAGCAAGGTCGTGTAGTCACGCACCCCCATTCAATTGTCGAGAAACAGGGATTCATCATTTCAGATTATGTTGGCAGATTAAGGGTCCATAATTGTGTTCCATGTCGACCCATCGGTGATTCACTGCGCAGCTAAGCACCTAAAGGTGCGGTTTGACACGTCGATTCTTCGTTTTGAGAATTGGATTGTGGGCGTTATAGGGGGTATTGCTATAATGTTGTAAAATACAAACAAAACGAACGAAATGAAATGTCTATTAAGTTATTAATAATTTTTGATATACCGGACGTTCCATAGGAACAATTTGTGGAACCAACAGAATTTAGAACGTTTTATTTGAATATATGCTTCAGACCCATGTTTATGTTTAAAAATAAAATTACAAAATAATTAAGAACTAAAAGTTGAGATTTTCACGAAATTATATATATTCGCATGACAATTGTGACAATATATATATATATATATATATATATATATATATATATATATATATATATATATATATATATATATATATATATATTCTCACGTATTGATTCACGGATGGAAAAATATGATGACACTATATTCCGGGATATCATCCGTTCGCTCGTTGAACTCCGACTGGAATCCTGCATCCGACTGGAATCCTGCAAATCCTGCATCCGACTGGAATCCTGCAGACGTTTCGCCAAAATCTGTGTTCGAAGTGTTTTCGGAGCGCGAGCATTGAAGATGCCAAGTGAGATTTTGGCGAAACGTCTGCAGGATTCCAGTCGGATGCAGGATTTGCAGGATTCCAGTCGGATGCAGGATTCCAGTCGGAGTTCAACGAGCGAACGGATGATATCCCGGAATATAGTGTCATATATATATATATATATATATATATATATATATATATATATATATATATATATATATATATATATATATATATATATATATATATATATATATATATATATATATATATATATATATATATATATATATATATATATATATATATATATATAATTTCGTGAAAATATGAACTTTGAGTTCAAAAATAAAATTGTGATATATTTATCTAGAAATGTTCTGTAATTGGTTAAAAACGGTTTTTAAGTATGTAATATATGGCTTTGCTTTAATCACTGGACGGGCATCCGCCATAGTCAAGAAAATCGTTAAAATTGATTTTGCTTGGGGACAGGTTTTTTCAGAGTTGTAATTCATTTAACTATTGTGTCCTCTCATTTACTCCTCCAATTCCCCATAAACCGCCAGGACACATTTTACACATCATATTTTAATGCATCTTTATGCGGCTTATTATAAAGTATAGGACGAATTTTTCGTCCATACAATGTTCGATAGAACAATTTTTTGAAATATTTTGAATGTAACATTAGTATAAAACTTCCTTCATTGATAACGTTTTTAATGTGCCTTCACATAGAGATACTCAGTCCTGCAATATCAACTGGCCGAGCAGCATATAAGGCCACCATTGGAAACTAATTTGTTTCCATAAGTTTATAAATCTTCGACCGCCCCATAATTATATTAAAAATAATATACAAATTCATTGTAAATAAGAAGTTATCTACCTAGGAGTGAATTTGAACAGAAAACTAAATATAAAAAACAGTACATTTATATGTTTTTTTTTTTTTTAAATCTATATATATTTATATGGAATATACATAAATATATTTCTATGATTTTTAACACTTTTAATTTAATTTAAATTAAAAGTGTTAATATAATTTATTTAAAACGGTAAACAATTCAAAAATAGCTGAATTGCTTCAGAGGAATTTGGAAGGAAACTGATGTGACGAGCATCATGAAATATCAAATATATCAAATATCATATATATATATATATATATATATATATATATATATATATATATATATATATATATATATATATATATATATATATATATATATATATATATATATATATATATATATATATATATATATATATATATATATATATATATATATATATATATATATATATATATATATATATATATATATATATACGCGAGCATTGAAGATGCCAAGTGAGATTTTGGCGAAATGTCTGCAGGATTCCAGTCGGATGCAGGATTCCAGTCGGAGTTCAACGAGCGAACGGATGATATCCCGGAATATAGTGTCATCACATTTTTCCATCCGTGAATCAATACGTGAGAATATATATATATATATATATATATATATATATATATATATATATATATATATATATATATATATATATATATATATATATATATATATATATATATATATATATATATATATATATATATATATATATATATATATATATATATATATATATATATATTTACATACAATTCTTCTTTCTATTTTAAATATACAAAAATAACAAAACTGTTGAAAACTGGAAAAGATAAAAAAGTCTACGTAACTATGTTTTGTCATCCCTCAGACGTGAAAAAGCTGCATATTTACAATTTGTTACCTCTGAACATGCTGCTACGATTTTGAAGCGTTTAAAAAGAATAAATATTATGCCAAGATCCAAATTTGCCAAGATCCAAATTTGCCGAGATCCACAAATTACCAACAAATATTTATTATCCACTTTTTCCAATACCAGCGCAGATACTGGGTCCATTGAATTTTATGAATCCAATAAGATAAGTAACTCTGTTTTTGATTTTGTACTACCTTCTTAAGAAGACATTAGCAGAATCATGAAACTGTGTCATACTGTGTCTCCCGGTCATATTGAATTATATTACATTATATGGAAAAACAGCATAGTTTTGCCAGTTCAGTCAGGTTCTGAAAATGTTTCAACGATACTGGTCTTATTTGGCTTTTCAAAGGCATTCCATTGTGCGGATCATGAGTTATTGTGTGCTACTAAAACTAAATCACTTTGGCTTCACTGATCGATCTGAATCATTTTTCCAGTCGTTTTTAAATAATAGGCAGCAGCTCGTGGGAACTAATATCGGTATAACAGATTTGGTTGACGTTACTTCGGGAGTACCACAGGGTTCAATTCATGGCTCTCCATTGTATCACTTGTGCACATTTGATATGTTTAAGGAGGTCAAATTTTCTCAAATTCTGATGACACCTAGCTGTTACACACATTTAACTTAATTAATTATGATAACGTCGAAGCTAATCTTAGTTTGGATCTTAAAAGTCTTTCTCAATATAGTAAAAAACACAATCTTAAGCTCAATTCTAAAAAAAACAAATAAAACAAATTATGCTATTTGCTCCTCCTGGAAGCTATAATTCTTTGTGTGATCATATTAAAATTCAATTGGAAAATGAAAATCTTAAATTTGCAAATGAAGCAAAAAACTTAGCAGTAAGATATAGTGGTCACATTTCTATTTCATTTAAAAACACTACATGCCATATGCATATATTGAATTTGAAAGTACGAAAAAAACTCTTTGAGGCATGCATCCTTTCTAAAGTTCCATTATATATATTCTTAGCTTGCTTGCTGATAAATTCAGATTATAAAAAATCCAGAACAGCTGTGTCCGATTCGTTTATGGTTTGAGAAAGTTTGATCGTACATCAAAAAAAATATTTGCGCTGAAATGGCTCAAAACTAAATGCCTCTTTCAATTGTTGTATTTAAGGTTATGAAATATTCTTTACCAACGTACCTGAAAGATGTTTAGTGTTTCGGTATAAAATTCACAATGCTCCTCTAAGGACGAAAAACACTCTTTTAATCAATAATAAATAATAATAATTAATAAATAAATAATTAAGCTTTAGAAAAATAATAAATATTTTGAATCCAGCTCAGTTCTAGTATTTAGGAAGAAAGATAAGATTTTGTCTAAATCTTGTACAATCATTTAAAATATCTCAATAAAGACTTTTACTATTATTGATATTATTATTATTATTTTAAATTATTTAAATTTAAATTTGATTATCCTTTTCTTCCAAATCTATATTTTTTCGTAACAAAAGCGTTCCGGCAACGGACAGACGTTCTTCTTCTTTGAAGAATTCCACAACGCAATGGCGCGAGTCAGGCTTCGCGCCTCAGCAAATCTGTGTGGAAAAACTTCATCAGTTGGAGTTTGACGGTCGGTCGCGAACGTGGCTCTCACACGCACGATCTGGTCCGCGGTGCATCTTCGTTTCGCGGATTCGGAAAAATCGCCTCATCGCGATCGAAGCGTTTTTTTTCTTATCGCGCGAATCCGCCCGGTATGTTCGTAAATGACATTAAAATGTTTAAAAATAGTTTGGTCAGTCTCAGGTAATTTTATTGGAAGGAAATACCCAAATTTTACCCAAGTACTATTTTCGGTAAGGCAAATCTGATTTATCATTGACATACTGAGTGTGCTAAATTTTTTGTTATCCGATTAAATTTTACATAAAAAAGTACACCTATTTAAGTTTTACGCCACGAAAAAAAAAAACTATAAACGTAACGATTACGGGGGATAAAGTAATAAATTAATGAACCAAAAGGGTACTGAAATTATTATTTATAAGAACAATGAAGAAAAAACATTAAATTCTGTAATTCATGGTGCAACTGCTAAAAATAAAAAAGATTATTCCTTAGATTGATATAAATGTGCTTAGAAATACATTAAACTTTTTATTGTTTTTACAAACGCTAGTAAAAAAATACAAAATAATAAGAACTGTTGGAAAAAATACTAAACCGTTAGATATTAAATCGCTAGCAACCACAATTGGCTATGGGCAAAACTATTACAAAAAATGAAAAATTAGGCGTGTGAGTAAAAGATCTTGGGTAATAAGAGAGATATGAAACAGCAGTTTTCATTATTTACTTGTTAATTGTCACTAATAAGGCAAGATCAAATTTTTCATATAAAAGAACAAAATGGACGCGTAAGTTTTTAAGGATTTCGACTGCAAAAAGAGAATAAAATAAAAGAAAAATTGAAATCAATGAAAATTAAATGTTATGCATCGGCATAATCAAATTAGAGAAAATTGAAGGATTTTAAGTAAGGAAACACAAAACTAATATAAAATAAGTAGAAAAACACTTTTTATATGTTACTGCAAAAACAAAAACTGCGAAAGAACTGTCTTTAGGAAGTTGATTTTTTTTCCATCTTATCAAATAAAAAAAAGCGCATTCGAAACTAACCAAAAGCCACAATAAAACTTCCCGTTGAAATTTTGAAGCACCTCGCGCATAACGGAGCGGCCCAAGGTGTGACCCACCCTTGTGGTATACCAGACGGTGCGGCCTCCAACGACTTTCCAAGTATTATTTTCGTGTTTTCGATATTTTCGGCGGCTACCATTGCCAAAAATACTTTGTACGTCGGCACGTCTGTGGTGTAAGCAAATAAATAATTGATTTCACATAATATAACAGGTGATAGATTGTATTTTACAATCTTCACGGTTCTCTTGTTTTTTTTTTTGCTCGGCTTTTGCGATTGACGCGAGAAAGCAAGATGTCACCTAGAACTGAAAAACCTTGGCAACTTTAATGCTAATATTTCATTTTATCCACAGTAATTTCAATTGGTATTTATTTCGCTACACTCGGGTCAACAATTATTTTAGTTTATCTGTTTTCTGTAGTAGGAAAATTACGCCAGGAGCTCGACGCTCGGCCGTTCTATTTAAATCCGGCTCGAATTTTCGGAAAAGCCCAAATGCCGAGACGGTATCTGCCTGTACGTCTTTCTAGAGCGCACATCTGTCGCGTGCATACGCAATACATAATGACGATCTAATTTAAAATAAATGCAGACATATTATATATATATATGCTCGGCACACATAATATAAATAGGTCGTACCGTGACTACATTGTTGTCCAAGAACACAAAAATTTACAGTCGATGCCTGAAAATTTTTACTACTAGGAATACACAAAAATCAGATAAACCATTAAAAGAAATCACAAAGATACGAAGATTTTCTTATTTTAAAAAATAGTAGTATATTTATAGGGAAACACATGTGGCACTACGTCGTACTCTAACCTAACACCGTAATGGGCGAATATCCTTAGATACCTTAAAGTAGAAAAAACCAAGAAGAAGAAGATATTCTGCGGTACACTTCACCTCCAAACCAAAACAAGGCACGAGGGAACCCGAAAATTTAATTAAAAAAATTGTACTTTTTTGACAATTGACAATTTTATGATTTAAAATTCGACATATAATTACCCGCAGTATATCCATGGTGTAAATTTCCCTTTTTTCAATAGTGCTGGCTAGGAGTAACCGAAATAAGCGTCTTTACTAGAAATACTCAACTATAGACACAAGAATTTCGACGAAATTGTGGGGATTTTTTTCTAGTCGTTCAAAACGTTCGAGAAGCGCATAGGAAAGAGAAACAGTGGTATTTCACTTGCGTGGTAGGATCCACCTTATGAGGGATTACTGTTGACTCAAATTAATCATTAATAAACCGTGAATAAGATTAGGCCGAAATTATTAAATTAAAAAAACTTGTCGTAGACGGAAGCGTGATAATGATCAAACCAGAATATAAAGGTTGAGGTCGCGCGCCAGCCGTACCCACACGATCTTATATACCGAGCGTCGGGGAATGTTGAGCTTATCCCTTTCAAGTACTGAAACTTTGTTGAAACTGCGCCTAGTTAAAAATATACGGCACTAATACTATCCTGTAGTCCGGAATGTAGATATTTTATTTTATTTTACGGCATTTCCTTTCTAAACAGATCTCCACACACTTCACTCCATTTTCCATGAACATTTTACGGAATCTAGGCATATTTTGAGAAAATATAGCCACATCCGTACTGAAATTACAGGTCTTATTGGCTGAAAACTCGATTAAATCGTCCTTGTCGACATTTTTTTTATAGCAGCATTAAAAGTTCGTGTATTATCAGCATTGGCAGGACCTAATATGTAGTAGCTGTATGGTATAATGACTATTCTGAAAGTTTTATGTAAAGCAGGTTAAAACCTATGAAATTATCTGTTCAACACGATCAATATGACGAAATAAAAGGCAATATTACCTTAACTATGCCGAGTCAAAATGAATTAAATTTTTATATTTTTATGATTTAAAGGTTAGTTTTTCGAAAAATCCAACTAGCAGTCAGTTCTAAAGAAATTTTAATTGATCTTTAGTGTGGGTGAGTTTTTTACCGTATCTATATAGAATTTATTTGCCATATAAAACATGAAACAATTCTAAAAACACATTGCTGAGGCAGAGAATACTAGAATAGAATACAAACAGGAAAATGATGGCCAATTACGGTGATCATGATCTCAATTTCGATATATTTGAGACATTGCGGCCTTGCCATATCTATGGAAATATTCACTGCACTATCTGGTTATCTTCTAATTTCTACTACATGTGATTTACGCAAAGAACTAAAGTATTTAACAAAGAACCATCGACCTGGTGTCGTTTTAATTTCATCCAAACAGTTGTCGACAAAGTAGTAAACTGTGGTTTCGCAAATTTTCAGGGGCGCCCGTTGCCAACCCGCAAGGTGGTCCCGAAGACTATTTTCCTCCGGAATGCGGCCATATTTACGTCGTAAAATGTTTTACGACCTTCGCCCAGGCGTTTCCGAATAATCACCGATCGGAAGAAAAAAAAAAAGACCCGAAAATAGTAATGTGAGTTCAACGGCCAAAATAACAAACATGACGCGGTAACGAAACCGAAATCATGCGCGTGTCGACCACTAGAGTGCTGTTGTGTCTGTATGTCTTCGTGCAAGCGGTGTCGGGTTACCAGACGACGAAAAATGTCAACCAAAGGACTACGAACTTCTACGGGTCGTCGAAAATGCGCCACTCGTCTAGGTTTCCCAACCTGGACAAGGTCAGGTCTCGGTTGGACACTCTGAATGCTGATCAGAGTTATCCGAGGTTTAGGCACCACGGTTGGATGCTACGCACTACGACGACTACGACTACAACGCAGTCGCCGTTATTCGACGTCTACGGCGACCTGGAAGGCAACGAGGATGACGGAGAGGAGTTCGGACTGTACGACGACAAATTCGTGAGTGTAACATCCAGTGAATGAAAGTAAACATATTTAATTAATATTTTGGGAGACGTAAAAATTTAATAGTGAGTTGCGTCTCCACGTAAGTTTTGACATTATGCAACTGTTCGTGACATGCTTTGAATCAAATTCTTCACTTCTTGTACTTTCCACCAATTATGATCAATAGATGACCTTGATAGCTAAGGAAGGAGGGTTACAATAGCCTGTCGGAGCAAGTTTCTAGTAAGTAAAAAGTAAAAAAAAACAGTGAGAACGACCCCATTCTAGATTCAGTGAGCTCTCATTCTTCAATAAATCTTTCTGATGGATATCTGGTGACCCGTAGCTACCGTAGACTCAGGTTCGATTGAGCTGGTTGTGCTGAAACGTTTTCTAAGTTCACTACCTCTTAAGAGCGCTAGTTCGAGATCACTTCTTAAAGGCACCTTTTCAACCGCGTGTATGGCGATGATCGGCAGGCCGCTCTCCCTGACGCATTTGCCAATTTCCCGAAAGGACATTTAATCCTCTGATAGGCCTCGTTCAAATTGACCTAGCGATGTCTCACTACATCACGTTTCCAATTTAGTAAAGTCCACATGCAAAAAAACTGGATAGTTTGAAGTAAATGATTTAAAAAAATTATTTTTTGTGAAATTGAAAGAGTCTGGTAATTTGTAGCGACAAAATATTACAAATATAGCTAAGCATATGCTCCAATTTCTATGGCACACAGTATATATGCTCGAACACGTATCTAAATTAGGATGTAGTCATTATAAGTTTACATTCCTAATTTACTGGTGAACTTATTTCTATTACTAATTTGAAACGACCCAATTTCTTGCTATGCGATTATATCGAAATTTCGACGGAATAAGATATTTTTCTCTGCGCAGAGAGCGACGAAAATGCCGCGCGATGCTGTTCAATATGCTTCGACGCACATAAATATTTATGCAATTACCGGGACGATGGTAAAATGTCGATGGCATACGAATCGGCCCAGCCGGCGGTCCGTACGCGACAATATGCATCGCTCTGTGGTCGCGGACACGGATTTTGCTTTTTCGTTTTTCGCTTCCTTCTTCTTATGCCGTATTCTGTCGTGGCGGAGCAGTGGCGGCCCCTAGAAGCCGTTCGATTGCGTTGCCGTGTACTTTAAATTACAAATTATGTTAATCAGTCTGTAGGTACTCATTTGGGTATCGGTAGGTGTGCGTTTTTCGCAAACCCCATCGAGAAAATGACGTTATCGCCCCGCTGGTTATCAATTAAATGGTATAGGAAATCGCGACCATCCTGCATGGTCGCGACTTTCACTTGCGGCGATTTCAGGCGTAGGTGACGTCATAAGCCATCTAAAGTTCGTTTTACAACCGGCCGAGACAGGCGGTTGCGGATTGAATGTTCTAAGGTTAGTTAGTTGTTTCTAACGTTGTATTTAGTTATGAGATGTTATAGTTTTCAAGTCATATTATTTCATTAAAATTTAAAGTAATTTATGATTAATTTTTGACACAACTATTGTAAATTTTGTTAAATCAAAACCCCAAAAATACTTTATTATTTATTAAACACTTGCCTTAAGTAAAAGCTTCCTGACCAGCGATCGACAAGACTTCATGGGAATTTGAGCTTGCCGAATTAAATTTCTAAGCGAGGGGTCATGGGGTAGTCCCATGGTTTAAGTCTGAAGATCCTGCTATACAAAAAATTTAATTGAACCGAATCGGCTCATTTTGATCTTGGACCGTCGAAGTCAGCTACAAAAAATTTGGTTCTCCTATACGCGGCACGGCCATGCGAGTCGGTTGGGAGAAATTTCACGCTAAATGCTTCGGTAAACAGAAGCCCAGACACGAATTATCCTCTCACAGGTGTCCAGTCGGGCCGGTTTTGGCATCACATTAAATGTTGAACCCCGTTGATAACATCGATCGAAGACCAGGTTAATGAATATGCAATTCTCATCTCTTTTTAGCGGGCCTAAGATATTAAAATACTAACTTTGTGTATCAGGTGAAGAGGAAACACGAAATTACGAAAGGCTAAACAGACATACGTGGATAATTTCTGTTTCTCTGTATCTCTGTATGCGAAAATGTCACAGTTTTTAAATATAGGGAAGAATACCGTGCCTGTGAGATATGAATCTCATTATACATTGACAGCTCTGGTTTGTTGACCTATTCGTTTGCTTTGAAAACAACTTAATATATGAAAAAATAAATTGCATTTACGTTTCTTGTACAGGACGCATATTTGAGGTATTATCTGAGGAAAAAAAAAACACTATACAGAGGGAGAACGCGAAAAAGAAAGAGTTCCGTCGCTAGCCAGAAGCGAGAAGCTGAGGCTAAAGCAAATAGAAAGAAACCAATTTAATGATCGCGCTGCTTGTTTAAATTAGAACATAATCAGGCGGCTATTTACGACGATTAGTACCTAAATATTTTACGAGTGTCGATAATAAAGTCGTACGGAGCCAATCCCATAAATTAATTGGCGTCTATTTAAGGCACCAATTAGTAGAGTCGTAAAATTTCTTTTGCTTAACGCAAAGAGGGCCATACAATGGCGACCCATATTCCTTATCGGGATTGTCTTTAAAAAATGTTGCGTAATCGCGTGCGTTCGCCGCGGTAATCCTCGCGTTACGCCAAAAAGCTTCCTAGGGATCAGATCTGGTCGACAGTCTGGCGGAATTAATCCTGAACACGTTGCGTTCGCGACAGATTAATTTTAGATACGGAGGTTCCGCAACGGGAAATAGAGCGAACTCGTCTTCTTCGTCGGTCATTTCCAGAGTTCGAAAACAGACGAAAAACTTCTTAGGATTGCGCGTATATTACTTAAAGTACGGGAGAAAATGGACTGAGATCAATGGCCAAGTAAACTTGTTTGCTATTTGTTCTTTGTCATCGGGGGTCTCAGAAAGTATATTAATAACATCTGCTCTCTTCGACTCCAATATAAACCACGTCACATTCTGAACGCATCTTTGATCTGCAGAGAAAATTACTGCGGATAATAGATTATCAAATTAGACGACAAGGATGATGTAAGAAAGAATTATGGTCAAAAATTTTGAACACATCGCCTGTGTTCTTCGCAACTTTTTTTTTCGGTGCAGATTTATAGATAAACAAAGGACGATTATCGAAAGTAATAAGCAGAAGGTCAATTTTCTTCGTCGTTAAATGGGAGCCTCAAGTTGATCCCGAAATATGCCTTACGACCTTGTTTGCGAGCTGAACCCAACGATCGCCACTTCAAAAAGATGCGTTTTATAGGCCGCTATCTAATGAGTTTTTGAAATAGCGCTTCGTTTCCTAGGCTTGTAAATTACAGCGCGTCACCTACAATAAGGCGACAAAGAAATATACGATGCTCACAGTCCCAGTGTTGGATGTTAACGGCTGCCTTGTTCTTATAGCCAGAGGCGTAGGTCAACGAAATGCCGTCCTACAAAGCCTGTAATTAGCGGTAATTTTTTTTAAAAACTGACATTGCTGAGTTAAACCACTATTTTAATTCGTAATCCTACTTTTTTCCATAACCTTATTTTTTAATATTATATTTAATATTTCCATCAGCTTAAAATACTTCTTAAGTCTAATTTTGCATGCTTACACTTTCATTGTCCGTGTTGAGGTTGGTACATACTTCGGCTTTGTATTTACCAGCGTTAAAGTTAGAAATTTATATACAGTTGATAACGTTAGTATTGTTTTAATTCATAATTGCGATTTTTCGTATTTTTTTGCCGCTAATCTCATGTTAACGCAAATGTTTAGATAAACAAGAGTCAGTTTTTCAAAAGATTGGACTAAGCGTGTGTAAAATCATATGCCCAGTTCAAACATTTTTGTCTGCCTAAGTTCCGGGTATTTTTATGCTTTTCCCTTAATAGAAGAAAACAACCCAACAGATACGAAAAGGTAATTGAAAAAAAAAAACGCCACACACATACACAGGCACACGCAAGCGAACATTTCTCGTTCTGCTCATTAATATTTAAAACGCTTTACAAGCGCATATCTCCCGATATTATTAATAAAGACAAGTTTAACTGATTTATTTGTTTGTATTTGCGAGAATTATCGTTTTAATTCTACGGCTCCGGGGCGAGAGGCAATAATTATGAAACTACATCGTGAACACTTGTCCCCGACGATTCTTTTCACATTACGTCACCCGGCGGCCGTATGCAAATCAGGAGACGTTTCTCTGATTAGGGCCTCTTGTTGCCGGACCCCGGATGAAAACCGGACGACAATTTTCACTTTCTTGACGCAGGTGGCGATCGCGCCGAATAAGAAAAGAAAAACGAGTCCCAGAGCAAATATTGACAGTGAAATTTGACACTCGAGCGTAGATAAACCTGCGAGCTCGTAAATACTCGTTAACACAATGGCGTCCATTGTAGTGTACACCAGTTTACTGCTCATCAATCGGTTATAATTTTTTTTGTGTCATAGTAATACGATTTTTTGAAACTACCTATAGGCGTATCGCCGTTGCGTCCTATTTTTGCGGTAGGTCTTACTTAAAACAGGTTCGATGTTTTGACCTACGCTAACGAAAAACCAAGAACTTATTTTTAGGACAGTCATTCGAAGTCTTTTAATATGCGACTCGCACCTATAAAATTTAATTGTAGTCGAAATTTTATCACTTCTTGTTGCGTATATATAATTCCAACATAACGTGGACATACGAAATGCCTTGCAACATACCTTTTAATTACCGCGCGAGGTTGCAACTGAAGATCAATTGCGCAAACTGCTTTTAGAGTTAGTTGTATTTGTTTATATACAGAACAACTTTGTCATTGTTCCAAAAAATCTGTCACGCCTGCAAACCCTCTGCTGCAATTAAGAAAACTTTGGTTCCAGTAAGAATTACTAATGAAAATCCAGCTATGTCGCCACCCTTTTGTCGATAGAATGTCGTATGTCGTTTCAATAAGTAGTTAGAATTGACCGTGTTTTCTTAAAGTATTTTTA